GTGCCCTGCAAAGCCACAGGGGTGGAGCTGCCTAAGGCCTTGGGAACCCACCTCTTGCATCAGCCCGACCTGGATGTGAGACATGGAGTCATAGGAGATCATTTTGGAGCTTTAGGATTTGACTGTCCTGTTGGACTTCAGACTTGCATGGGGCCTGCAGCCCCTTTGCTCTGGCCAAATTCTCCCATTCGGAATGGGTGTATTTACTGAATGTCTGTACCCCCACTGTTTCTAGGATGTAACCAACTGGTTTCTGATTTTACAGGCTCACAGGCAGAAGGGACTTGCCTTGTCTCAGATGAGACTTTGGGCTTGGACTTTGGGATTAATGCTGGAATCCGTTAAGACCTTGAACTGCTGGAAGGGTAGGATTGTGTTTTGAACTGTGAGGACATGAGGTTTAGAAGGGGCTGGGGGCGGACTGATACGGTTTGGTTGTTTTGACCCAGATCTCATCTTGAATTCTAGTTCCCATAAACCCCACGTGTGTGAGGGACCAGATGGAGGTAACTGAATCATGGGGGTGGTTCCCCCCATCCCGTTCTCTGGAGTTTGCATCTGATCTGATGGTTTTATGAGGGGCTCCCCCTTCCCTGGGCACTCACTTCTCTCTCCAGCTGCCACATGAAGGACATGACTGCCTCCTCTCCCACCATGACTGTACATTTCCTGAGGCCTCCCCAGCCCTGTGGAACTGAGTCAATTAAACCTCTTTTCTTCATAAATTACCCACTCTGAGGCAGTCCTTTACAGCACTGTGGGAATGGACTGATACAGATGGGAAAACCGCAAGACAATTCTTACTGTCCTCTTATTTTGATGGTTTCAAGTACTGTTTTGTGCAGACACTCTGACGTTTTCCCTTCTGATCGGCCTCCTAAGAGGGAGAGCGAGGGCTCAGGGTTCACGGTTCGCCTCTGCTGTTTAGTGGAAGCGCTGCCGCTGCCCATCGTAAACCAAGCCCACTTAAGCCTGGGTCCCTTTCTGGGTTCTTGGCCCCCCCATCTGTCCACTGCCACGTTATCTGCACAGTGATGGCTTTTTAGTAAACTGGATTTTTTTTTTTTTTAAACACAGGGTCTTGCTCCGTTTCCCGGGCTGGAGTGCAGGGGTGCCATCTTGGCTCCCTACAGTCTTGACCTCCCTGGCTAAGGTGATCCTCCCACCTCAGCCTCCCAAGTAGCTGGAACTTACAGGTGTGTTTGTGCCATCATGCTCAGAGAATTTTTGTGTTTTTTTGGTAGAGATGGGGCTTCTCTGTGATTTTCAGGAGGTTGTGACATCGGGTAGAGGATGGCCTCATTCTTCAAGAGCGTCTTGTCTCTCCCCAGTTCTTTGCCAAATTCTGAGTGGAGCCACAGTCTGGGACGTCTTCCACCCTGGGGACAGACAGCATCTCCTCCTTTACCTAGGATTTGCATCTCCTGTGCTTTTGTAGGCCCTTTTTTTTTTTTTTTTTTTGAGATGCAGTCTTGCTCTATCACCCAGGCTGGAGTACTGTGGTGCCATCTTGGCTCACTGGTCCCTCTGCCTCCCGGGTTCAAGCGATTCTCCTGCCTCAGACTTCCAACTAGCTGGGATGACATGCGTGTGCCACCAGGCCCGGCCTTTGTAGGTTTTCTGTGTTGTGCTCCTGCGTGTTTTCGTTTAGTTCTCTTCCTGCATGACTGCTGTTTTTGATACTATTATGCACCATCGTTTTCCCTCCTCAGTTTCATTTGCTGTTTGTCGGGGCTGGAATTGTTTTGTACACATGTTGGGATAACAAAGCATGAAGTAATGTGCTCCCTTTACCATGAGAGTCTGTTTCTAAAACTGTTTTATTGATGGGCATTTTTTTTTTTTTTTTTCAGACAGTTTCGCTCTTGTTACCCAGGCTGGAGTGCAATGGCGCGATCTCGGCTCACCGCAACCTCCGCCTCCTGGGCTCAGGCAATTCTCCTGCCTCAGCCTCCTGAGTAGCTGGGATTACAGGCATGCGCCACCATGCCCAGCTAATTTTTTGTATTTTTAGTAGAGACGGGGTTTCACCTTGTTGACCAGGATGGTCTCGATCTCTTGACCTCGTGATCCACCCGCCTCGGCCTCCCAAAGTGCTGGGATTATAGGCGCGAGCCACCGCCTCCGGCCTGATGTGTAATTTTTAGAGCATAAAATGCCCTCAGTGTAAGTGTACAGGTCGGTGGTGGGGAATCCGCGCTGTACACCCGGCACTGCCCCCGCCTCTCCCACGCGGGACCACTCTCCTTATCTGGTTTCTTCCCCAGATGCTGTGTTTTGGAGGCTCGTCCACACGGTGACATGGAGCAGTGCTTCATGCTTTGCAGCTGAACAACGCTCTGCTCTGTGGAGAGGCCACATTTGTTCACGGCTCCTTCTCAGCTGGTAGAAGCTTGGGTTATTTCCATCTAGGGTTATTCTGAAAGATTCTACCCTATTTGTGTACAAGTCTTTGGACACAGCTTTCATTTTTCTTGGGGACAGAGTGGAGTTGCTGGTTCATAGTATTGTATCTCTTTTTAAAAACTATTTTCCAGCATGGGTATACATTTTTTTTTTTTTTTTTTTTCCAGATGAAGTCTCGCTTTGTCACCAGGCTGGAGTGTATCGACACAATCTTGACTCACTGCAATCTCCGCCTGCCAAGTTCAAGCAATTCTCCTGCCTCCAGAGTAGCCAGGACTACAGGGGTATGCCACCATGTCCAGCTAATTTTTGTATTTATTTAGTAGAGACGGGGTTTCACTATGTTAGCCAGGGTGATCTCCATCTCTTGACCTTGTGATCTGCCCACCTCGGCCTCCCAAAGTGCTGGAATTACAGGTGTGGGCCACTGCGCCTGGCTCATTTTTAAAATTAAAGACTGAATCTCACTCTGTCCCCCAGGCTGGAGTGCAGCACAGCAATCTCGGCTCACTGCAACCTCCGCCTCCTGGGCTCAAGCAATTCTCCTGCCTCAGCCTCCCAAGTACCTGGGCTTACAGGTGCCCACGATCATGCCTGGCTGATTTTTGTATTTTTTTTTTTTTTTTTTTTTTTTTTTTTGAGACGGAGTTTCACTCTTCACCCAGGCTGGAGTGCAATGGCGCGGTCTCGGCTCACCGCAACCTCCGCCTCCTGGGTTCAGGCAATTCTCCTGCCTCAGCCTCCTGCATAGCTGGGATCACAGGCACGCGCCACCATGCCCGGCTAATTTTTTTGTATTTTTAGTAGAGACGGGGTTTTACGATGTTGACCAGGATGGTCTCGATCTCTTGACCTCTTGATCCACCCACCTCGGCCTCCCAAAGTGCTGGGATTACAGGCTTGAGCCACCGCGCCTGGCCTGATTTTTATAGTTTTAGTAGAGACGCAGTTTCACCATGTTGGCCAGGCTACTCTCGAACTCTTGACCTCAGGTGATCGATCTACCCACCTTGGCTCCCAAAGTGCTAGGATTACAGGCGTGAGCCCCTACACCTGGCAGAGCATACTGTTTTACCCAGTACGAGAGTTCCAGTCGTCCCACGTCCTCGCCAGCACTGGGTATGTTCTCCTGAGCTGTTCTCATATTTCTCTCATAACTAGTGATGTTGAACAGCCTCTTCATGTGATTATTGACCATTCTTATGTCAGTCTTTGGTGAAATAATCTATTGAAGTCTCTCACCCTTTTTGGTTTTATTTTTTTAACATGTACAGAGCTGCTGGATACCCATTTTTAAATTGGATTATGTTCTTGAGTTGTAAGACTCTGCATATTACTTAGAACTCTTAGTGGTGGATCGAGGGGAAAAAAAAAGACTGGCAGATATTTTTCCCAGACTGTGGCTTCTCTATTTTTTTTTAAAGGTGTCTTTTGGCCCAGTGCAGTGGCTGACACCTATAATCCCAGCACTTAGGGGAGGCTAAGGCTGGAGGATTACTTCAGCCCAGGGGTTCAAGACGGGCCTAGCCAACAGAGGAAGATCCCATCTCTACAAAAAATACAAAAATTAGCCACACACGGTTCTCTGCAGCTGTCGTCCCAGCAACTCAGGAAGCTGACGATGGACGATTGTTTGATGCTACAGTCAGCCATGAGCATGCTGGGTAACAGCAAAACCTCGTCTCAAAAACAAAACAAATTGTCTAGGTTGGGCGCAGTGGCTCATGCCTGTAATCCTAGCACATTGGGAGGCTGAGGTGGGCGGATCACAAGGTCAGGAGTTTGAGACCAGCCTGAACAACATGATGAAACCCCATCTCAGAAGTACAAAAATTAGCCGGGTATTGTGGTGCGCCTGTAATCCCAGCTACTCAGGAGGCTGAGGCAGGAGAATCACTTGACCCAGGAGGTGGAAGTTGCAGTGAGCCAAGATCACGCCAGCTGCACTCCAGCCTGGGTGACACATTTTTTTTGAAAAGTTGTCTTTAAAGTGCAAATGTTTTCCATTTTGACGAGGTCCAGTTGCTTCTGCTTTCCTCTAACAACTCTGCGCCTAACCCAGGATCACAGAGATGTTCTCCTACAATTGCTTCTCAAAGTGTGATGGCTTCCGCTGTTCTATTTAGGCCTGTGAGCACCGGAGTTCCTTTGCGGGGATGTGTGAAGGGTCCCGAGTCACTTCTTCCCCAGGTACCTGTGGTCCCAACACCATCTGTTAGACCCTCCTTTTCCCAACTGAAACATCTTGGCATTCTTTGTTGAAAAATCAGGTGGCCATGAATACAAGGATTTATTCTAGACTCTCATCTATTGGTCTTCATTTCTTTCTTGTACCACTGTCTCACTTTTTTTTTTTTTGAGACAGAGTCTCACTCTGTTTTCCAGGCTGGAGCACAGTGGCACAGTCTCAGCTCACTGCAACCTCTGCCTCCCAGGTTCAAGTGATTCTCCTGCCTCAGCCTCCCGAGTAGCCGGTATTACAGGTGCACCACCACACCTGGCTAATTTTTCTATTTTTAGTAGAAACAGGGTGTCACCATATTGGCCAGTCTGGTCTCGAACTCCTGACCTCATGACCCGCCCACCCTGGACACCCAAAGTGCTGGGATTCGGCGTGAGCCACTGCGCCCACCTGCCACTGTCACACTTCCTAGTGAGTTTTGAAATCAGGTAGCCTGAGCCCTCTAGCGCATCCTGTTTCAAACCTGTTTTGGCTCATCTCGATTCTTGCATTTCCATGTATGTTTAGAATCGGCTTGTCACTTTCTCCAGAAAACCTACTGGCATCTTAATAGGGATTGCATGGGATGAGGGCCCGCTTGGGGAGAATGGAAATCTTTACAGGAGTCTCCTACTTGATAAACATGGGATCATGCCATTTGTTTAGATCTTTTTGTTTCTTTCAGCAGTGTTTGCAGTGTCAACGTCTTAAATTTCCTTCACCAAGGTGCTTCCTAAGTGTGTGCTTTAGTTTTGATGCCAGTGAATGGAGTCTTGGTTTTGTTTGGATTGTTGGTGGTTGATAGACATGTGTTGGACCCCAGGACCCAGATGAACTTGTTCCAGCTGTGTGTCTGTGTCTCACAAGATTTGCTGTGTAGAGGCTCATGGTGCTATGAATAGACACTTTTACCTCTTCTGTTGCGACATGTATTCCTTTTTTTAATGAATCTTATTAAATGCCTTGTTTGCCTTTAGAGGGAAACATGGTCACCCACCATGAATTACGCTGCTGGCTGTTTCTCACGGATGCTGTAGGAGGCAGAACAGTGCGCCCAGCCACGACGGTCACGCCCTAACCCCCGGCCCCTGGGATGATGGGAGGCTACTCCACCAGGAGGAATCAAGGTTGCGAAGCAGCTGACCCTAAAAATGGAGGAGCATTTTTCAGTACGGAACCTAGTGGAGTCACATGCTCCTCAAAAGCAGACCAGGAGTTGCCGAGAGGCACAGTGGACTCCACCTACTGTTGCTGGCTTTGAAGATGGTGGGAAAGGCCACAGCCAAGGGATGTGGATGCCTCTGGAAAGGATGTGGATACAGAACCTCTCCCAGAGCCTGTGCCTACACCTTCCTTTTAGTCTCATGAGACCCATGTCTAACTACCGACCTCCAAACCGTAAGATAAAGTTGTTTTGTGTTTTGGGGTTTTGAGATGGAGTCTTGCTTTGTCACCCAGGCTGGAGTGCAGTGGCGCAATCTTGGCTCACTGCAACCTCTGCCTCCCAGGTTCAAGCAGTTCTCCTGGCTTGGCCTCCCAAGTAGCTGGGACTACAGGTGTGTACCACCACACCTAGCTACTTTTTCTATCTTTAGTAGAGACGGGGGTTTCACCACATTGGCCAGGCTTGTCTTGAACTGCTGACCTCAAGTGATCCACCTGCCTTGGTGCTTCCCAAAGTGCTGAGGTGACAGGCGTGAGCCACTGCACCCAGCCTAAACTTGTGTTGTTTTAAATCACCGAGTGGGGGTGACCTATCCCAGCAGCAAATGGAACCTAAGCAGATGGCCTTTCCTAGCTGGGGATGTTCCCTTCTGTTCCGAGTTGTGAGATTCCTTACCGGGCGTGGGACTTTTATCCTGTGCTTTTCTGCATTCACTGAGATGGATATTGTGGGCGTTTTTTTGTTTTGTTTTTTTTTTTTTTGGAAACAGGGTCTGGCTGTGTCGTCCAGGCTGGAGTGCACTGGCATGGTCTCGGCTCACTGAACCCGTGCCTCCTGGGCTCAAGTCCACGTCCTCTGGCCTCAGACTTGTGAGTAGCTGAGACTACAGGCATGCACTTGTGTATCTGGGTAACTTTTGTTTTTTGGTTTACTTTGGTAGAGACAGGGTTTCGCTGTGTTGCCCATGCTGCTCTTGAACTCAAGCAATCTGTCCATGTCAGCCTCCCAAAGTGCGGGGATTACAGGCATCTGTTTATTAATGTGCCCTATGTTGTTCATTGCTTTGTTGGTGTTTACGTGACCTCACATTGCTTGCAGTAATAAACCCGCTTGGTCATGGTGTATGATGTTGCCCAATTTGGGTTGCTAATATTTTGTTCAGGATCTTTAAATCTGAGTTCATGATGGACATTGTTCTGGGGGAGGGGATGAAGGGTCCCTAAGCCTCGTCGACTGAGTCAGGAGCAGCTCCTGTGTTCATGACAGACGTTGTTCTGGGGGCGGGGATCATGCTGCCTCAGGCTGGCAGACTGTCTCCTCCATGTTGGGAAGACTGTGAATGGTGTCGTGGACAAGGCACGGGGAAGCTGTGGACACAGGCTTTCTGTGGGAAGTCTTAGGGCTTTTCATTCATGTAATTTCTTGTTCTACCTCAAGTGCTGTGTGTGCCTCTGGGAGTTTGCCCGTTTCATCTGATTTGCTGGTACACAGGTCCCTCAGTTTTCCGAGTCCTGTTGATTGCTGTAGGACTGGTAATGACGTCCTCTCATTCGTGCCTTTGGTAGTCAGTGTAGCTAAGCGTTTGCCAATTTTGTTGATATGTTCAGAGAATTTACCTTTGGTTTTTCTGCTTTCTAGTTTACTGATTTCCTCCCTCATCTTTCTTCTTCTGCCTCCTTTAGGTTTCGTTTGTTCTTTCTAGTTTAAGGTAGAAACCTAGTATTTTTCCTTTTTTTTTGAGAAGGCGGCTCAATCTGTCACTCAGGCTGGAGTGCAATGGCATGAAGTTCGCCAGGTGCAACCTCTGCCTCCCAGGTTCAAGTGATTCTCCCACCTCAGCCTCCCTAGTAGCTGGAAACAACATGCACCCACTTGGTTAAAATTTATTTTTTGTAGACATGGGGTCTCACTGTGTTGCCCCGGGTGGTCTCAAATTCCTGGCTTCCAGCACTCTTAACACCTAGGCCTCCCAAATTGCTGGGATGACAGGCTTGAGCCACCAAACCCAGTCAAAGGCAAGGGTTTTTGAGACCACCTTTTATTCTACAGGTGGGTGAGGCTGTAGATTCCCCTCTGAGCAATGCTTTCCTTGTGTCAACTCCCACAGCTTCTGCCTGACCCACCACCCCTGCCATTCGGATCAGAGGTCAGTGCTAGGCGCAGTGGCTCACTGCTGTCGTCCCAGCACTTTGGGAGGTCAAGGCAGGTGGATCACCTGAGGTCAGGAGTTTCAGACCAGTCCAGCCAACATGGTGAAACCACATCTCTAATAAAAATATAAAAATTAGGCTGGGCGCGGTGGCTCAAGCCTGTAATCCCAGCACTTTGGGAGGCCGAGGCAAGGTGCATCACGAGGTCAAGAGATCGAGAGCATTCTGGTCAACATGGTGAAACCCCATCTCTACTGAAAATACAAACATTAGCTGGGCATGGTGGCGTGTGCCTGTAATCCCAGCTACTTGGGAGGCGAAGGCAGAAGAATTGCTTGAACCCAGGAGGCGGAGGTTGCGGTGAGCCGAGATCGTGCCATTGCACTCCAGCCTGGGTAACAAGAGCGAAACTCCGTCTCAAAAAAAAAAAAAAAAAAATTAGCTGGGCATGGTGGTGGGCTCCTGTAATCCCAGCTACTCAGGAGGCTGAGGCAGGAGAATCACTTGAGCCTGGGAGGTGGAGGCTACAGGGAGCTGAGATCATGCCAGGGAACTCCAGCCTGGGCAACAGAGTAAGACCCTGTCTCAAGAAAATAAAAATATTTAAAAATCAGATGTCAGGCATTTGATGCAGCCATCCAAGGCTAAAATTACCTACTTGTTGACAAATGAGCAAGGTGTTATTGGTTCTGGCCCAAGCATATTTGCTGACAAACAAACTCTGAGCTGTGGTGGAGGTAGTGGGAGAAGGAATCTGTGTCATTTGTCTTCACAGACCCCTGGCTTCAGGAGTATCCCAGATGGGTCTGTGGCTCTGAGAACAGACCAGTGACCCCTCTGGGAGAAGAGGCATGCATGTGGTTGGGGGGTGCCAGCCTTCCTCTTCCGTCCACGAACGTCAAGCCAGGCTTGCTCCTGGGTCCCCAGGGCCGTTCTGCTGCTCCACTCAGAAGAGCCTGTCTGTAGGACCAGGTGGCAGAGCGGGTATGAGCCCCAGAGTCCCCTGCCCTCACAGGGCAATCGATCAGTCAGTGAATTAATCAGATGTTTCAGCACGTGAGAGAGGTAGGCACACAGTGTTGTGAGTAGAGGAAATGCCACTCAAGTGTGCAATTAATTCATATATTTGAGACAGGGCCTCCCTGTCGCCCAAAACCGAGTGCAGTGGTACAATGTCAGTTCACTGCAACCTCCGCCTCCTGGGCAGATGGGACTATAGGCCTGTGCCACTACACCTGGCTAATATTGAATTTTTAGTAGAGACTGGGTGGCTAGGATGGTCTTGACCTCATGATCTGCCCACCTCAGCCTCCCAAAGTACTGGGATTACAGGTATGAGTCACTTCGCCTGGCCGTATTTCTCTTTTTAGAAAAAAATATCGTGTATTGAGATGGAGTTTTGCTCTTGGTGTCCAGGCTGGAGTGCAGTGGTGTGATCTCGGCTCACTGCAACCTCTGCCTCCGGGGCTCAAGCAATTCTCCTGTCTCAGCCTTCCGAGTAGCTGGGATTATAGGCATGCACCCTCAGACCCATCTAATTTTCTATTTTTAGTACAGATGGGTTTTTTCCATGTTGGTCAGGCTGGTTCTCAAACTCCCAACCTCAGGTGATCCGTCAAAAAAAATTATTTTGGTAGCCACTGGGTCTTGCCATGTTGCCCCGGAAGGTTTTGAACTCCTGAGCTCAAGTGAACCACCTGCCTCAGCCTCCCAAAGTGCTGGGATTACAGGCATGAGCCACCACATCTGTCCTAACTGTGCAATTTAAATGGTTAACTGTATGTTGTTTGAATTTAACCTCAAGTAAAAATAATTTGCCAAGCATGGTGGCTCACACCTGTAATTCCAGCCCTTGGGGAGACTGAGGCAGGAGGATCTCTTGAGGCCCATTGGATGACCAGCCTGGCCGACACAGCAAGACTCCATCTCTACAGAAATCATCATCTTCATATATTTTTAAAGTTTCAGATGAGCAGAAAACAATCACTAGACTTCTAATCCATTTTACAACTGGAAAGAAACGCACCACCCAGGGACTCACACGGGTCAGGGGAGGCAGCCAGTGGAGAACAGCGAGCGCCTGAGGCATCAGCCCATACGAGGGGACCTGGAGTCCACCTGCCGGCCCGTGGGAGGGAACAGGGGGGATGAGGGCCCACAGCAAGCACAGAGATGGCTGGTCACAGACAGAGCCTCCAACAGACCACACGAAGCCCGAGAACAGGAAGAGAGCAATGGCGCAGGCTGTGTAAGCACAGAAATCCTGAGCTTGAGACAGGACAGGGTGCAAATGGGGCGCAGGTGCAGGCGAGGTTTGGTGCTGAGACCTCAATTCACCGCAGACACCTGGACATGAGGCAGAGATGGGAAGGGCCAGGCAGCCTGATGTGCTCTTAGCTCTTAAAGGGAAGGATGAGGAAGATTACACGTGGGTGACACAGCGAGGATGCTGGGATCAGACACTCCACAGGGTTTTTTGTTTTGAGACAGTCTCGCTCTGTGGCCCAGGCTGGAATGCAGTGGCACGATCTGAGCTCATTTCAATATAAATCAGACTTTTTTTGAGACGGAGTTTCGCTCTTGTTACCCAGGCTGGAGTGCAATGGCGCAATCTTGGCTCACTGCAACCTCAGCCTCCTGCGTAGCTGGGATTACAGGCACACGCCACCATGCCCAGCTAATTTTTTGTATTTTTAGTAGAGACGGGGTTTCACTATGTTGACCAGAATGGTCTCGATCTCTTGACCTCATGATCCACCCGCCTCAGCCTCCCAAAGTGCTGGGATTACAGGCTTGAGCCACCGCACCCGGCAGACTTCTATCTTAAGTACAAAATCACCAGTTTTAAAAATATCCTTAAGGCCAGGCATGGTGGCTCATGCCTGTAATCCTAGTACTTTAGGAGGCCAAGGTGGGGAGATCACAAGGTCAGGAGTTGGAGACCAGCCTGACCAACATGGTGAAACCTCATCTCCACTAAAAATACAAAAATTATCCAGGCGTGGTGGTGCATGCCTGTAATTCCAGCTACTCAGGAGGTTGACGCAGGTGAATTGCTTGAACCCTGGAGGCAGAGGTTTCAGTGAGAACACAAATCCTTAAAACACAAGCTTCAGACGGCTTTATAGGTAAGTCACTATTTTTAGAAGCCAGGCCTCGCTCTGTCACCCAGGCTGGAGTGCAGGAGCACAGTCACAGCCTCCAACTCCTGACCTCAAGGGATCTTCCCATCCCAGCCTCCCAAAGCACTGGGATTACAGGCCTGAGTCACCACACCCTTATTATCAAAACCAGACAGGGATTGTACAGAAAAGGAATTCACAAGTCAAATCTAGCTACTGAAATTATGAAATGGATTTAACCCAAGAACATGACATGACTTAGCAGAAAATCTGTTCATGGGTTAGCTGTGGTGGCTTACAACTCTAATCCCAGCACCTTGGGAGGCTGAGGCAGGTAGATGACCTGAGGTCAGGCGTTCAAGACCAGCCTGACCAACATGGCAAAGGCTTTTTTTAAAAAGTCCCATTTCTAATAAAAATACAAAAATGAGCCAGACATGCTTGCTTAAATCTAGGAGGCAGAGGCTACAGTGAGCCGAGACTGTGTCTAAAAAAAAAATCTGTTCATACAACTCAGCAGCTAAACGGAGCATAGGTAACAGATGCAGAAAACCCACGCAAGATTAAGCTCCCACTCCGATAATTTCTACCAAACTAGGAGCGGAGGGCGGGTCTGGCCGACAGTGAATGGGGCTCCCGGCTCAGCTGGCGGGCTCCTGCTCCCCTTAGAAACCACCACCCTTCCCGCCCAGTCAGCCCAGTCAGCTCCTCTCCGTCTTCCTGACCTCTCAGTTCTCTGGACACCCTGACAGCACCCGTGCAGCCTGGCCCTCACCCATCCCAGGACACACACCATCCTTACAGCTACCCAGGCAAGAACCCCAGCTACAGAGCCACAGGCCTGGAACAGAGCTCTCCCTGGGGGTTCTGCTGCCCACCCCACCCCCCAAGGTCTGAGGCGTCAGGGCCGGTGGCCCTGCTTCCACTCCTGATGTCAGACCGCGGGGAAGGCTGGGAATGGGCTTCCCACTCTGCGTGTCTGGGAGGCCCAGGACGCCGAGGTCCATGCCTGCCCTGCGTGTCTCAGTCTCACCGGGCTCCAGCCACACCACCCAGCTTGTTCTCCCGCTCCCCGGCCCTCTTCCCGCTTTATCTTGTCCACAGGACTCTCACCCTGACCTCTTCCATGTTCCTCTACCAGACGAGGCCCCGGGGCACTCGGTGTCTGCTGCACAGCCAGCATTCAGACCCGCACCAAGCCAGATGCCAGCACCCAGTATTTACATGCAAAAACAAAAGGCCTGGAATACTCGCCCTCCTGGTGGGCTGCGGCCGTGCAGTCAATGAAGAACTTAAGCTGCAGCAACTAAGAGAAGGTGCGGATGGCATGGGACAGGGAAGCCTGCCATAGGGAGCAGGCACCGAACAGTCTGCACCCACAGAAGCTGGCTGTGTGAATGAGGGCAGGGATGCCTGAGTGTCCACCCAGATGGCAGGAAAGGACACAAGCGCCAGGCCTGAAAAAGAAGCTACACGTGGATCTTAAACCTAAGAGTGAAAAGCAAAACCCAGACCATCGGATTTTCATCACTGCAGTGTGGTAGCATGGGGAGCGTCACACAGGACACACAAGCATTTACCATGCACAAAAGGATGCATCTAACTACACTGAGAATCCCAGCCCGGCGTGGTGGCTCACGCCTGTCATCCCAGCACTTTGGGAGGCCGAGGCAGGCGGATCACGAGGTCAGGAGACAGAGACCATCCTGGCCAACATGCTCAAACCCCATCTGTACTAAAACAAAAAAATTAGCTAGGCGCGGTAGCACACACGCCCATAGTCCCAGCTACTCGGGAGGCTGAGGCAGGAGAAATGGTTGAACCCAGAAGATGGAGATTACAGTAAGCCAAGATTCCATCTCAAACAAAAAGAATTCCTGGCCAGGTGCAGTGGCTCACACCTGTCATCCCAGCACTTTGGGAGGCCAAGGCCAGTGGATCACGTAAAGTCAGGAGTTCAAGACAAGCGTGGCCAACATGGTGGCCAAACCCCTCTCTACTAAAAATACAAAAATTAGGTGGGCATGGTGGCTCATGCCTGTAATCCCAGCTACTTGGGAGGCTGAGGTAGAAGAATTGCTTGAACCAGGACCCAGGAGGCAGAGGTTGCAGGGAGCCGAGATTGTGCCACTGCACTCCAGCCTGGGCTACAGAGAGAGAATCCATCTCAAAAACAAAAAAATTAGCTATGTGTGGTGGCCCACACCTGTAGTCCCAGCTACTCAGGAAGTTAATGTGGGATGATCTCTTGAGCCTGGGAGGTGGAGGCAGCAGTGAGCTCTGATTACACCACTATACCCCAGCCTGGGCAACAAAGCCAAGCTCTGTCTCAAAAAGTAATAATTTCTACTCCAAGGGTCCCACATCCTCAGGGCTGCAGCACAGAAGGAGCCAAGCAGCAGGCCACCAGCATTCCTGCCTGGGCTCTGCCTCCTGTCAGATCCACAGCATTCGATTCTTACAGGAGCACAGACTGTTTTGAGCTGTGCACACTGCATGTTCCTTATGAGAATCTAATGCCTGATGAGCAGACGTGGAAAGTTTCATCCCTACTCCACGCCCCTCCCACCACAGATGTGGAAAAGCTGTCTCCAGGAAACCAGTCTCTGTTGACAAAAAGGTTGGGAACCAGTGCTCTACTGAACAAGACAGTGAGTTGCCAGCAACAAACCAGAACTGTGAACCTGCGTGCCCGGCGAACACACAGCAGCTAACACAGGACACAGACCACCACACGTGAGGAAGCTGACTCAGCAGTTACACACCAGAGAAAGCTGGGGAAAAGACTTCACAGAGGTCACGCAGCAGGAAACGCTGTGGCCAGCGAGCGTGGGGGAAGCATCTACACACCCCTGTACCTGAGGACACGTGTGTCATCAAGGCCTCTGCAAGAGGCCATTTCACATCCTCCAGATCGAGAAAAGCTACCACATCCCACCCCAGGAGCTGGCAAGGGTGTGGAGTGACATACCACGTTCATTCCACTGAAGAACAGAACTGGCTCCATGGATCCCACAGAACAGCCCAGGTGTTTTCCAGGGTTTAAGATGCACCTCTCTGGCCCAGACGATCCACTTCTGGTCATTAACCCTCAAGAAAACTGTCCCCAAAACATCCCCAGCTGCAGGAGCAAAGCTCGGAAGGCGTCTGCAACCCCCCAGGACCGCCTGGCTCCACCTCACACCATGGCTGCCCCAGGCCAGACCCACAGAGCAGTCCCAGAAGGGTGCTCACAGCAGGGCTGCGTGGCAACAGGGAGGACAGGAGACTCGAGTGTCTCCGGGGCTGCCTAGTTGTGCCAGGTGGGGTGAGAGTGGGGGTGCTTTTTCTTTCCGTCCCACACTTTTTTGAGACAGTCTCACTCTGTCACCCAGGCTGGAGAGCGGTGGCGTGATCCTGGTTCACCGCAACCTCCGCCTCCCTGGTTCAAGCAATTCTCCTTCATCAGCCTTCTGAGTAGCTGGGATTACAGGTGCGTACCACCTGCCCAGCTAATTTTCTGTTTTTAGTAGAGACGTGGGTTTCACCATGTTGGTCAGGCTGGTCTCGAACCCCTGACCCCAGGTGATCTGTCCACCTTGGCTTCAGAAAGTCCTGGGATTAGAGGCATGAGTCACCACACTGGGCCCCACACTTACTTTCTCTTTGGTCATTGGGGCCTCTGGGAGGAAGGTGAGCCGCAGGATGGGGCTGCATGGCTGCCTGGGAGTGCAGTGGGGTGAGAAGACATGGCTTGCTGCTCCTGCTCTGAGGGGTCCCCTGCAGCACACAGGGGCCTCTGGCGCCCTCTGGAACACCATCTTTATAGAGAATGGACGTGTGCAATTCCTGTGCGATGGTGTAACGTCTGGAATTCTGACTCCCGCGTGGTGGGGCCCACGTGGCAGCTGGAGGACACAGCCAGACACGAGGACAAACGCCCACAGCCAAGGCACCTCCTGGCCCTAGCTGCCCAATGAGGAGCAGGGGACAGCAGTAGCAGCACACTTGTCACAGATCACCTATCTCCTGATCCAGGACAGTGCTGGGGCCCAGTGTCCCTCCCACAAAGTTCAAGTCCCTCCATCCTGCACCCCTGCCCCACCCTCCACTGTGGCTGCTGGAGAGGCTGCCTCTTCCTGTCCTTCCCACGTATACCCTCTGCCCCCAGGCACAGCCACAGCCTCACATCTGGGCATGACGTGTGGCCACCCACCCAGCTCTCCTACGGTCACAGGCCAAGAGCACCTCCTAGGTGGCTGCTTCCACAGAGGGCGGTGTGTGCTTTCTCACAGAGGCAGGGGCCCTGCCTGGAGGGCTCGGGATCTGGCTGCCTCCAGGAGGAAGATGCAGCCCCCTCTCCCTGGCGGAAGCTTGAGCAGATCAGACCACAAGCACAGGCTGCAAAGGTGCTGACTGCAGCAAGTGGTGTGATGGTCCCATTAGCGCCCAGCCAGGGCCGTAACTAGGACACCGGCTCATGCCATAGACAGGAGTCTTGGGGTGACACGAGGCAGGGTGCCATCCCAACGCTTGGGATTGCCAGGACGGGCTGCTCCTGCAGCCCTGGCCACCCCACGCTGGGAGCTCAGGACAGGACACAGCACCGGTACAGCCTCAGCAGCCACACCAGCTCTGAGCCAGAGCCCCCGGGCGTGGGCAGGGGCCTTGGCAAAGACCTCCCACTGTCTGCTTTGGGCACAAACACCAAGTGGCCTTCCCCATCCCAGGATGGCAGCAGTGCTGGAGCGCCCTTGGCACTGGGGGGATGGGGTTCTGCGCTCACAGAGACAGAGAATCGCCTCATCCCATGTCAACACAGATTGTGATGATGACCTGGGATCCAGAAAGGTGTCGATTCCTTGGGTGGGTGGGGCAGGGGACATTGGGAAAGGGGAGGAGGAAGAACCCCAGGGCACCCCCGTTGCACCCCTCCTGCAAAGCCAGGAAACCCAGGGAGAGAGCACCCTCCCGGGGTCCTGACCTGAGGCGTGGGTGGGAGGAGGAAGGCGGCCCATGGAGAGGCATAAAGGCCAGAGGACGACAGTCCGCAAGTGGAAGTTATGGGAATAAATACTTTTTAAATTTCTCTTATAAATATGCATTAGAACATTCACTAACACAAGCCAAGAGCTGTGAAATTAAGGTTAAATCAAGACTGAATTTCCTGCATCAGCAGCAGGAAAGCCAGTTACCTAAGAGAGCCTAATCCCCCAATGCTCCAAAGGCGCAGGGTGGCCTCAGTCCCGGGGCACCTTGAACTGGTCCTTCTCCCGGCGCACAGCCCGCATAGTGGTCACAGGGTCTGTCTCGCCTGCATGCTGCTGTACTGTCTTCTCCCTGCGGAGGCCAGCAGAACAATGCAGGCTGGGGGATCAACGGGCCCACCACCCTCCCAAGGAGCCAGGGCTGCTGTAGCAGACACCCCCCAATGTGGGGGTGCACAGGGCGTGCTGATTCAGCCCAGCCCTGGTAGGACATGGAGGATGGGGAGGCGGCAGCCACTCCCCCTCCAACGGGTTCTGAACTCCAGGGTCCAAAAGAACCCAGGCCCTGGCCAAGGTGCCCCTAGAAGAAAAGTGCTCCGACTTTGTGGCTGCACCTGCTACAGATCCCCAGGGTAGCCTCAGCCATCTGGGCTCTCAGACGCCCCTGGGCTGTGTGCTCAGGAGTGGGGCTGCCAGATGCGAGAGGCCTGCTCCCGCCCCCTGCCCTCACCTCACTCTCATGAAGGGGTTGTAGGTGAACTCCTCTGCCAGGGTGGACGGCACCGTGGGTTCCCCGATGTTGTACTTCTCCTGCAAGAGAAACATGTCGCTTTTTCGTGGGGATTTTACAAGATGATGGAAGGCCGAGCACGGAGGCTCATATCTGTGATCCCTGCACTTTGGGAGGCTGAGGCAGACAGATCACTTGAGCCCTGGAGTCTGAGACTAACCTGGACAAGATGGCCAGATCCCACCTCTACTAAAAATACAAAAAATCAGCTGGGCGTGGTGGCGGGCGCCTGTGGTCCCAGCCACTCGGTGCTGAGGTGAGAGGATCGCTCGAGCACAGGTCCAGGCCACAGTGAGCCAAGATGGTGCTACTGCACTCCAGCCTGGGTGACAGCAAGATCACATCTCAAAATAGATGCTTCAGAACACCTGCTGGTCCCCTCAGAACACCACCCAATTGAGAAGGCAAAGTGAGCAGAGCCCGGCAGGTCTGTGTGTGCAAAGGAGAAGGTAAGCCAACATCCAGGGTGAGCCGCGCCCCCCTCCTTCCCTTGCTGTCCTAGAGAAGAAGACAGAAACAGAGCTTCCTTTTCATTCACATGAGGTTTACACTTCAGTTATGGAGGTAGTAACTGACAAAAATGCAGGAGACACAAGAAAACCACCACAGCTGCACCCTCTAACCAAGCACAGGGAGGAAGGGCACGCTGACTGCACCAGGGCACCTTCCTAGGCATGGCAGGGCAGAGCTCCCTCCCCCAGGGGAGCAGGCCCCCTGAGCCCCCACAGGTAGGCGGCTTGTCACCTCCACTCAAGATGGAGATGGTCTCCCTCCTGAGCAACAGTGACCACGGCAGACAGGGGGTGTGGGGTGGAGGAGAATGCAAACCAAGCCACGTGGCCAACAGTTAGCAAGAAAAGACGGTGGCAACAGCGGGGTCTCCAAGCAGCCCCAGCCTTTCTACCACTGCCTCACCAAGAAGGCCTCAGGGCAGAGCTCCGACAGAAGCTGCTGGTGCCACGCACAAGCTCGGGACCCCCGTGGCCTCAACCCCAAAGGTCCCCACCCACTGTGGGCAGTGGGGTCAAGGACTGACTCTTCAGCTGGTGGAGGGGCACCAAGTGGGGTCTGGCGACACCAAGATGAAGGTTCAAACTAATCTGTTCTTCCTTCTGCTGAAAAGAACCTGAGAATGTTTCGTAATACTCCCTGTTCCCACCAATATTCTCACACCTAAGACATCTTCCACCTCCTATGAGGGAAGAAAAGTTAACACTTTTAAAACAGGCAGTATCATAACCTTTGGGGTTACCTATTACAAAGAGGTTTTTTATTTTGTTGTCAGACAGAGTCTTATTCTGTTGCCTCAGCTCCCTACAACCTCTGCCTCCTAGGTTCAAGCGATTCTCCTGCCTCAGCCTCCCAAGTAGCTGGGATTATCGGTGCTCACCACCACACCCAGCTAATTTTTTGTATTTTTTTTTTTTTTAGTTGAGACACAGTTTCTCCAAGTTGGTCAGGCTGGTCTCAAACTCCCAACCTCAGGTGATCCGACCACCTCGGCCTCCCAAAGTGCTGGGATTACAGGCATGAGCCACTGTGCCCAACCTAAAATGAGTTTTAATGTAGTAGCTATTTTTCCTGCAAAGTACAAAGCAAGCAGAAATTTAAACACATTAAAAAAAAGACATAAATAAGGTCCTAACCTTTGGGAGGCCGAGGTGGGTGGATTGCCTGAGCTGAGGAGTTCGAAACCAGCCTGGACAATGTGGTGAAACCCTGTCTCTACTAAAATACAAAAAACAAGCCAGGTATGGCGGCGTGCGTGTGAAATCCCAGCTACTCCGGAGGCTGAGGCAGGAGGACTGCTTGAACCCAGGAGGCAGAGGTTGCAATGAGCAGAGATCACGCCACTGCACTGCAGCCTGGGTGAATGAGTAAGGCTCCATCTCAGGGAAAAAAAAAAAAACAAAAAAAACAAAACAAAAAAAAAAAAACCCAGGCGCGATGGCTCATGCCTATGATCCCAACACTTTGGGAGGCCGAGGCAGGTGGATCACAAGGTCAGAAGATGGAGACCAGCCTGGCCACCATGGTGAAACCCCATCTCTAATAAAATACAAAAAATTAGCTGAGCATGATGGCAGGCACCTGTAGGCCCAGCTACTTGAGAGGCTGAGGCAGGGGAACTGCTTGAACCCAGGCAGTGGATGTTGTTGCAGTGAGCCAAGATCGCACCACTGCACTCCAGCCTGGGGACAGAGCAACACTCCATCCAAAAAAAAAAAAAAAAAAGGTCAGTCCTTGCAGCACAGCTCAGAAGAGCTACACCTCCTGTGGGTTCTGAACTCCAGGGTCAAAAAGGAGTTGAAAACTCTGTGTCCTTCCTACTGAGATTGATAAAATCATTATGGGTAACACCACACAATAGCATATTTTACACCTATTGAAAAGAATGACAAGGGCTGGGCGCAGTGGCTCATGCCTGTAATCCCAGCACTTTGAGAGGCCAAGGCGGGTGGATCACGAGGTCAAGAGATCGAGTTCATCCTGGTCAACATGGTGAAACCCCGTCTCTACTAAAAATACAAAAAATTAGCTGAGCATGGTGGTGCGTGCCTGTAATCCCAGCTACTCAGGAGGCTGAGGCAGGAGAATTGCCTGAGCCCAGGAGGCGGAGGTTGCGGTGAGCCGAGATCGCGCCATTGCACTCCAGCCTGGGTAACAAGAGCAAAACTCCGTCTCAAAAAAAAAAAAAAAAAAAAGAATGACAAGCCAGGCATGGTGGCTCACACGGGTAATCCCTATACTTTGGGAGGCGGAGGCAGGAGGATCACAGGAGTTCGAGAACAGCTTAGGCGACATGGTGAAACCTGGTCTCTACCAAAAACACAAAAATTACCCAGGCACAGTGGCACAGGCCTGTAGTCCCAGCTGAGGAAGGAGAATTACCTGGAACTGGGAAGACGGAGGTTGCAGTGAGCCAAGATTGTGCCACTCCACACTCCAGCCTGGACAGCAGAGAGATGCTGCCTCCCCTCCCCCCAGTCCCCCAAAAAGAGGCTGGGCACAGTGGCTCATTCCGGTAATCACAGCACTTTGGGAGGCCAAGGTGGGCGGATCACATGAGGTTGGGAGTTCAAGACCAGTCTGACCAAAATGGAGAAACCCCATCTCTACTAAAAACATAAAATTAGCTGGGCATGGTGGCACATGCATGTAATCCCAGCTACTGGGGAGGCTGAGGCAGGACCCACTTGAGGACCGCCCTTCCACTTGAACCTAGGAGGCAGAGGTTGCACCACTGCACTGCAGCCTAGGCAACAAGAGTGAAACTCTTATCAAAAAAAAAAAAAAAAAAAAGACAGCCCAGGCACAGTGGCTCATGCCTATAATCCCAGCACGCTGGGAATCTGAGGCAGGTGGATCTAACACCTGAGGTCAGGAGTTCGAGACCAGCCTGACCAACATGGTAAAACCGTGTCTCTACTAAAAATACAAAAATTACCTATGCATTCCAGCCTGGGTGACAGAGCCAGATTAAAAAAAAAAAAAAAAAAAATTAGGCCAGGTGCGGTGGCTTGTGCCTGTAATCTTAGCACTTTAGGAGGCCAAAAGATCACCTGAGGTCAGGAGTTCAAGACCAGCCTGACCAACAAGGAGAAACCCGTTGCAACTAAAAATACAAAAATTAGCCAGGCGTGGTGGTATGTGCCTGTAATCCCAGCTACTTAGGAAGCTGAGGCAGGAGAATCACTTGAACCTGGGAAGTGGAGGTTGCAGTGAGCCGAGACTATGCCACTGCACTCCAGCCTGGGCAATAAGAGTGAAACGCCATCTCAAAAAAAAAAAAAAAAAATCAAAATTGACGCGACTGATAAAAAGAACACAAACTGTCAATATCAGGAATGAAAACAGGAATATCATCACAGATCCACCAGATACTGGGGAGGGGGAGGGGTTCACCCTGATCTAAATTTAACAACTATACAAATTCCAAAAAGAAAATACTGGAATAAGTTTTTTTGACCTTGGGATGGAAGACAAAAAAGAATGAACCATAAAATAATCTACTGGACTTGCTCAAAACGACCAATGTTCGCTTAAAAGATACTGCCGAGAAGACGAGAGGCAGGACTGGGCTCCAGCACCTCCTTCCAAAACCCCGCGTGGCCAGGAGGCGGCAGGAGTGTGCGGAACAGCTGGTCTCCCACGCCTTCCTGTCAGGATGCAAACACCACAAGCACTGAGAAAGGAGAGTCTGGGAGTTTCTTCCCAAGTCCAGCCCAGCCATTCCTCTCCTGGGTCTCTGCGCAGTGCTGTGCCTAGGAGGTCTGTCCCTCCAAACGCATGCTGAGATCTGATCCCCATCGCGTGGGTGGGGCTGAATGGAGGTGCCTGGATCACGGGGAGAATCCCTTGTGAAGCGCTTGGTGCCCTCGACCAAGCGTGAGTTTTTGCTGTTAGTTCCCACAGGATCTGCTTGTTTAAAAGAACCTGGTGCCTCCACCCTCCCCACCCCCTCTCCTCTCCTCTCCCACCCGCTCTGGCCACATGCTTCACACCCCTTCCGCCATGAGTGGAAGCAGCCTGAGGCCTCACCATGTACGGATGCCCAGGCCATGCTGCTTATACAGCCTGCACAGCCATGCGCCACATAAACCTCCTTTTATAAATTACCCAGCCTCAAGTATTCCTTTATAGCAACACCACACAGACTAAGACACCCAGGAAGTTAAAATGTATGTCCGCTGTATTTCTAACTAGTGTCAACAAATAATCACGACCAAGTACGTAGTGACCCATTTAATCACACATGTCAGACCTTCAACACGAAAATTCCAAAACACTGCTGAGAAACGCTGAAGACCTCAATAAATAGAAAGCTCACAGAAACACCCAGTGTTAAGATGTCAGTTCTCTCCACATCAGTTATCACAACCGCCCCAATCGAAAGCCAAGCCAGCTTTTTTGGTAGAAACTCCAAGATGATTCTAAAAATGGAAATGCAAAAGGCTTTAAACAACCAAAACTGTTTTGAACACCACCACCGGAGGGTTTCTACTACCGAGGTCAGGACTCGGCACAGAGCTGCAGCACGCAGGATGTTGTGCAGGGACACCAGGCAAGTCACACAGACCAGCACTACAGAGCCGAGTCCAGGAGGAGACTCAGGCATGAATGGTCCATGCTTTGCAGAGAGGTGCCAAGGCAATCCAGGCGGGAAAGGGCCGTCCAACAGACAACGCTGAACAAGTCGGGATCTCACTGTGGGAAAGCAAACCTCTACCCTCGCCTGCCACGCAAACGCCATCTTGAAAGGGAACACTTTAAATTTTATGTGAATATAAAAACGAAGACTTTGAAACTTCTAGGAAGAAGCACAGGAGAAAGTCTGTGAGCTAGGGGTATGCAAAGATTTCTTAAAGCACAAAAAACATAAAACAAAAAATGAGCAGGCTGGGTGAGTTGGCTCACACCTGTAATCCCAGCACTTTGGGAGGCTGAGGCGGGCAGATCACGAGGTCCGGAGATTGAGGCTGACATGGTGAAACCCCATCTCTACTAATAATACAAAAAAGCAGTAGCTGGGCGCTGTGGCAGGCACCTGTAATCCCAGCTACTGGGGAGGCCGAGGCAGGAGAATCGCTTGAACCTGGGAGGCGGAGACTGACGTAAGCCAAGATCATGCCATTGCACTCCACCCTGGCGACAGATGAGTGAGACTCCATCTCAAAAAAAACCAAAACAAACAAAAAAACCAAAACAAATAAGTAAACTGAATTTCACCAAAACTATAAATGATTTTCCAAAGACAGTGTTAAGAAAACGAAAAGGCAAGTCACGAACTGGCAGAGAAAAATTTTTTACATAAATCTCACCAAGCCTTGTTTCCAGATGATGTAAGAAACTCTTACAAGAGCAATCTAACAGGCCAAACGCAGTGTTTTCAGTGGACAAAAAACTGAACATAAACTTAACAGAAGGCAACCAAAGGCCAACACACAAGAGAGGATGGTCATGGGGAAACACACATTTGAAAGGCAGTGAGACTTTTGTTAGAATGGCAAAAATTAAAGAGACCAACAGCCCCAGTGGTGGCTGGCGCAGTGTGGAGGCCCCAGAACTCATGAATTGGTGGTGGGATCGCCGAACAGGACAACCGTTTTTGGAAAACAGTTCTTACATTTAACCACACAACACAGCAACTCCACTCTTAGGTAGGTACCCAAGAGTAATAAAAACATGTCCGCAAAAAGACTTGTACACAAACGTTCATAGCAGCTTTATTTAAATAGCAAAAAACTGGAGACAGACAAATGGATAAACAAACTGCAGCATTTCCACATGATGTGCTACTCAGAAGCAAAGAGCATGGCTGAATCTCACCAACATCAGCAGGGCCAAGAATGCCACGGAGATGACGGAGTTGCGGGCTTCTGTTTATGGGAAACTCTACAAAGTGAGCTGAAAGGCCGGGTGGGTCACGCCTGTCATCCCAGCACTTCGTGAGGCCAGCGTGGGCAGATCACAAGGTCAGGAGTTTGAGAGCAGCCTGGACAATATAGTGAAACCCCATCTCTACTAAAAATACAAAAATTAGCCAGGTGTGGTGGTACACACCTGTAGTCCCAGCTACTCAAGAGGCTGAGGCAGGAGAATCACTTGAACCCAGGAGTCAGAGGTTGCAGTGAGCCAAGATCACACCACTGCACTCCAGCCTGGGAGGTGGAGCAAGACTCTGTCTCAGGAAAGAAAAGAAAAAAGTGACCTGAAATCAGAGCAACAGCTGGCAGGAATGCCATATGGGAGGGGCATGGGAGCCTTTGGGGCAGTGGAAAGCTCTCCATCTTGACTGTGGAGGGGATTACACGGGGCAAACATCACCAACATTCCTCAATCTGCAACCTGCCCACTCAAACCAGACTCACTGGCCGGGCATGGTGGCTCATGCCTGTAATCACAGCACTTGGAGAGGCCAAGGCAGGCAGATCACCTGAAGTCAGGAGTTCAAGACCAGCCTGGCCAACATGGTGAAACCCTGTCTAAAAAATACAAAAATACAGGTGGCGGGTACCTGTAATCCCAGCTACTCAGGAGGCTGAGGCAGGGAGAATTTCTTGAACCTGGGATAAAGAGGTTGCAGTGAGCTGAGATTATGCCACTGCACTCCAGCCTGGGTGACAGAGCAAGCCTCCGTCTCAAAAAAAGAAAAAAAAAGATGAATATTTATGATTCATCTGATTTACAGTTTGGATTTTTATGAGTAAATATTGTAAAACAACGTAATCCTCTACTCCAAGAAATTGAAAAAGATGCTCAACAGAAATAGATGATTTACTTAAAACAACCAACCTGTCCGAGGCAGCGACTCTCACTCCACTCAGCAGAGGGAGGCCACGTTTAAGAGCACCCAGGCATACACAGTCCTGACGCTGTTTCCGGTGAATTTGGGAACACAACCCTGGAGAACCCTCTCCTGCTCCTGGCACTCTTTGGCTCGGCTGGCCTGGGCTATGCCATGGAGGCTCACGTGGGGCCTTCGTGGAGACAGGAGTCCTTTGGACACAGAGCCACTTCCGTGGCCTGGGGAGCTAGCAGAGCCACGTGGTGCCAGCCTGACCCTACTGCTCAAGGTGGGGAAGCAGGCCCGGTACTTGTTAGACATGCAGCGTCTGAAGCCCACTCAGGATCCTCTGAGGCAGAGGGATCTCAACAGAACCCCTGGGGTTCACCGTCAAGGGCAAGCCTGGCCACAGTGGCCTGAATCCCAGGCCTACTGTGTGGCCTCGGAGGCGCGAGTGTCTACCCACTCTGGCAACCCCACTGTGCACAGTGGGCCTGGCGCAGCCCACGGGAAGGCCCGCTCACCTTGGCCCAGACCAGCTTCTCCTGGACGGCAGCGTTGCCAGGCTCCACATGGCGTGCGAACTTGAGGTTGTTGATGGTGTACTCATGACCACAGTAGACTCTCTAAGGAGAGAGGCGACAGGTGAGCTCGGAAGGCTGTTGCCACCTGCGAAAGTCCTCAGGGATGGGACAAGGATGCCTGGGGGTGTGTCCAGTGAGTGGGCACCAGGAGAGAGGCCCTTTGTCTCCTGCCAGGCAGGCTGGGTGAGGCCCCCACACCCCAGCCCGCAGGGAGGCACTGCCTACTGTGTCTGCGGGGAGCCGGCCCAGAACCTCCAGCAGAGCTTTGCACATCTCATCCGCAGTCCCTTCATAGAATTTCCCACAGCCAGCCACAAACAAGGTGTCACCTGGAAACAAGAACAGCCACAAGGTGGGGGCCACTCGAGGCCAGTGGCTGGGACTCAGGAGGGGCCAGGAGCAGGGTGACACTCACCGGCAAGGCCCAGGCCCCGAGCCCTGGCTGCCTCTGGCCCCGGCTGCCCTGACTCCCACAGGCTCACTCCACTCAGAGCCCGCATTCCAGCTCCCACACCTCCTTCCAAGCCTCAGCTGACAGCGCTGACCACCTGATGACCACGCGACTGGCCATGCAGACGTGAAACCCAAGTCACTCTTCCCTCACTGTCGCCAGTCCCACCAGTGGTGGCTGTGAAACACTCACAAACCGAGCCCTCCCCACACACACCCAGCAGCCCCTCTCAGGCTCCTGCCTGGCCCCCACCTTCCCTTGACCCCAGCAGCCAGTGCCACCCAGTGACCAAGGTCTCACTGCTCTGCCTAAGCTGACCGAGACCACCTCTCACCCACTGCAGGGGACGCAGCCCACAGTGCTGGGCACCTCAGGCGCACCCCACCCTCAAGCACCCAGGCTCCTTTCTGCCTCAGCCTCAGGACCGTGTCCCCACCCCAGCCTCTGCCCTCCTTGTGCTGCTTCACGGCCATCCTCAGCTCGTTGACCCCATGTGGTCACTGGTCTCAGAAGCAGGGCTATACCCCCAAGAGGAGTGTGCTCAGCACCCAGCATAGCAGAGGCCACCCCACTTCTCACCATCCAGGGCAGAGAAGCATGCAGTGGTGCTGGGCACAGGCCAACGCCACAAGTCCCCCTGGGCCCTCCTGGGCACGAGAGATGGGACAGGATGGTAGGACAGGACCTGTTCCCCTGAAGGGCCCCAGACCTCATATCTGAGGACAGGAAAGAGGTCATGGAGACTCCAGAGGTAAGGAAGGGCAGGGCAGGCAGGAGGCGACCTTGGGGCCTAGGGCTCCTGCTCCACGGAGCTGCGCCACCTCCCCTCGTCACAGTTACCAAGTGAAACCCCGCACTGTGAGGCCAGTTGGGGGACAGGCACGGGAGGCAGCCCCCACCTCCAGCAGCCTCCACATGGCCTTTCCACATGGGCCACAGCCATGGAGGGGCTGGCCTACAATGGGGCTGTCCCTGGCCATATGACCTTCAGAAGCGGCTCCCACGTCTTTGACGACTCCAGGAGGCAGGCAGTGCCCCTAGACTGGCACAGGTCCCCTAACCCACACTATGGCACTGAGGAACACAGGGGCTCCAGGGCCGAGCCCCCCTCGCCCTGCGGGAAGAAACTGACTCTGTTCCCATGAAACCTGCCAGGACCCCAGCAGCCTCCAGCAGTCTCCACCAGCACAGCCCTTGCTGCAGGCCGAATGGCCTTCCAGACCACGATCCAAACCCACTGTGGGAGGAAACAGGCCAGCCCCGCCATGAGGCTCCCCAACTCCTGGATGTATCTGAGACTGAGCCCCAGGCTCCACCCCACCATGAGCCCCTCACACCAGGGCAACAGAGAAGGCCACGAAGCTGCCCCCCTGAGCCTGCCTGGCAGGAGACAAAGGGTCTTCAGAAGAACCTGTCCCCACCCCCACCTCAACACGCACCTGTGAACACGGCTGGGGGCTGCGAGCCACCGGGTTTGGTCACAAAGTAACAGATGTGTCCTGAAGTATGGCAAGGTGTCGACAGGCATTTGACGTTGAGAGACCCCACCTTAAACAAAGCAGGTGATGGCGTGTGCTCCCAGACACCCTAGAGAGCGTCTCCCGGGGTCACCATGCAGCCTGGGCCCTCCTCAGCTCCAGGAGATATGCCCACAAAGGTGGAGCAGACGCTCCCAGTCACAGGGCTGTGGAACTCACTCAGTCCACAGGTGCGCCCAAGTGTGGGGCCCCCCGGAACCTTAGCGCTTTCGTGTAAAAAGCCACGCGGCTTGTTTTCTCTTTCAAAACTGGGCCGAATCCACAGCCAGCATCTGGCTAAAGACGGCTTTCCTTTCCACGCTCAGCCTTCTGTTTCCCCTATCCCCATCTGTCCCCCGCCCCTGCCTGTGTGCTGTGCTCAAGGAGGCTCCAGGGGAACGACACCCTCCCGCTGAGCCTGAGTCTAGCACTGAGACCCCCCCCAACATGGCCCACTCCCCAGGGTCACGAAGCCCTGCTTCCCAGCCCCACACACAGCCATGTTCTGCACACTCCTCTTCTTGTGCCAAGACAAAGAACACTGTCCATACTGCCACAGAGGACCGCTGAGAGCCCCCCTGGGTCACTGGGGTAAGGGAGCAGAGAGGACGTGCGGAGGCTTCCCTGCTCCTGGCCGTGCTGGAGCACCGCCACTGCCAGAGCTCACTGCTCACTGCTCACCTGCAGTGTGGACAGGTGAGTGACCTTGTGAGTGAGGGCCCCAATACGGTCGTCACCGCCGTACACCTTCAGCCCTGGTTCCAGCTTCACCAGTTTCTCATTCCCGCCAGCGTGGTCCCTGAAAGTCAAACAGGAGACCTGGGTTGCCTGCTGCTCTTAAACCCTGGTCAAACAGGATTCCTATTTTGCACTGGACGTTTCTCAAAGAAACATATATCTTGCAACCCAGAAAATTTGCTTATTGTCCATCACTGGATCTGCTGACCAGATACCCACTCCCAAGCGAGGCTCCCTGCGGCCCTGCCTGTGGCTGTGTTTGGAGCTGAGGAAGCAAATCACAGACACCTGGATGATCCCGTGGCCAGGGTTCCGAGCGTGGGGGCGTGGGATCACCTGGACGTCTTTACCAAGAACCACCTGGCTCCTACCCTGAGCCCTCGTGCAATAGGTCTGAGGAATAGCCTGGGGTTGGATTTTTGAAAGCCCCCAGGTGATTCTCATGTACAGCCCAGTTTGGGAGCCACCCCACTGGCAGAAGATCAAACTGTTCAGCGTAGGAATCGCCTGGGGCGTGTCTGGGATGAGTGGCTGGCCCTAAAGGTGGCCTGCCTGCAGGGGAGGCCAGACCCGGCCAGCTCCAGGCCTCCTGATGCTCACCAGGTGGAGGAGCCTCCCTCCAGCCCAGGTTTCCCCAGGGGAGCCTGCCTGATCCGCACTTCAGAAAGGGGCAATTGAAGCGGCCCTTCCTGGGCCTCACCTGGGCTAGAATCCCTCATGTAGGCTGCAGAGCCCTGATGTGGGGTGGGGCCGTGAGGATCCCGCACCTGCCAACCGGGCTTCATTTCAAGGGTGAGTCCAAAGCTCCCCCAGCGGTAGGGAGCACCTGGCTTGGCCTCATTCCACGTCCCCTACAGATTCCTTCGTGTGCCTCCCAAGGAAACTCCAGCGACCACACCAGAAACCGCCTGCCTTGGCACCGCTGGGCCACAAGATAACAGGGAGGAGTGGTGGCCACAACCCTCTGCCCCTCCTGTCCTTCAGGAGGGCGTGGCACACAGGTCTCAGTCCACCCATCACTGCTCACCACAGATAAGCAAACCCCATCCCACTGAAGCTAGAGACTGGCTTAGGACTTCATGCTCCGGCATGAATGTCAGAGGGGCTGGGTGAACTCAAAAGCACTACAGTGTTAGAAAAGTTGGCAGCGAGGCCGGGAGAGGCAGTGAGCTACAGCAGGTTGTCATGTGCCAGGCAGCTAAGCGGAGGCCACCGCCAGGGTCCCCAGGAGGAAGCATGCTGGCAGCAGGGACCTCACACGACAGGCAGGCAAATGTGCTGAGAGGCAGCAGCTCAGCCACACAGGCCAAGGGCCATGGAGGCTGCAGGCACCGCCCCTCGTGCCCAGGTCCCTTCATGGACACCTCCGATGATCCTGCAGAGGCTCTCGGGGCCCAACTCATAGAGCCTGAAACTCTCCAGGCCTCAGTGCAGCTGCGTGTAAACCATGAGGCTTCCATCAAACCCTGGCCAAGCCACCAGCACAGCACTCCCACCACCAAGGACAGGACACTCATTTAACCCAGAGACAGAGGCTGGGGAAGCCACAGCTTGGAGCCCTAGGACAGTGCCAGGCAGGTCTTGGCTCAGGAGAAAGGTGCTGGCTGTTCTTGGGCACTTGCTTGGCAGACAGAAGTGAGAGCCAAATAAACACTTTCCTAGCTTTGAAGAGCCTCAAAAATTTTCAAAAGCTGAACAAGGGCCTTGAGCTGGCAACACCAGCCCTGGAACCTGACATAGTGCTTTATTTATCCTTCAGTTTTTAAGGATTTAAAAAACCCAACCTCTTCCGATACGGCTATTTTTTTTTTTTTTTTGAGAAATAAAAAAGAGCCTCCAGGAAGAGTCTCGCTCTGTCACCCAGGGTGGAGTGCAATGGCGTGCTCTCGGCTCACTGCAACCTCCACCTCCAGGATTCAAGTGATTCTCCTACCTCAGCCTCCCGAGTAGCTGAGATTATAGGCGTGTGCCACCATGCCCAGCTAATTTTCCTATTTTTAGTAGAGACAGGGTTTCACCATGTTGGCCAGGTGGGTCTTGACCTCAAGTGATCTGCCCACCTCAGCCTCCCAAAGTGCTGGGATTATAATCCCACGTAGCCACGGTGCCTAACCAGCTGCTTTAAAAAAACAAACACTCACCCCTAGACTCATTTACTCACTGACATTGAGGCCCACGTGCCGGGGCACAAGCCAGGGTGGTGCCAGAGACAGCAGGGGCTTGAGGCCTGTGGGTAAGGCTGCAGCCTTCTCCCCTCACCCCACAGGCCACGGGACCTCAGAATCATTGCAGCACCAGACCTGCCACTCGGGGACCATGGTCTTTCTCAGAGGCCTGCTGGGGGTCTGTCCTCACAAAGCAGACACAGCTATGGGGGAAGACAGGCCTTGATGTCTCTGAACCCACCAGGTCAAGAAGTGAGCCTGGTCCCGCACCCCCAGGAGACACCTAGGCCCTGTGGCACCGGCACTTACCAGTGGTGATGGGTGGTAAGCACCGTGGTCAGCTTCACCCCGTGCTTTTTCGCCTCCTCCACGACCTGCAGCAACACCGGGGCAGGACAAAAGCCCATCACGTTCCCAGGCCTGGCTCGCCGGCCTCTACAGTGGGGAGCCCAGAGGAACCCAGGACACATGGGAGGGGCCGCTGCTGTGGCCCATCCTGACCCTGCCAGCTTGCCCTGCTCCAGGAGAACAGGTGAAAGCAGCTTCTTCCTGCTCAGCCTGGCACTCTCAGAAGCACCCACTACTGCTCCAAGCCCCTCCAGCTATGAGGGCATCACCCCCAGAGGCAGCACTGAGGGGCAGAAAGCCTCCAGGAAGAGTCACATGCCCGGGATTTAGCAGCACAGCATTTTCTGTGTCACTGCCTCTTGCCTCCACCCTTCTTGGTTAACAGTGGCTGGAGACTAGTTTTTCAGAAATGAAGGGACTGATTTCCATTTAGCTGAGGGAGAGCTGCAAGGACACTGCGGTTCGGGAGCCCATCAGGGGTGAGGACTCCGAGCTGGGTGGTGAGGGCAGGGAGAGCCGGGCACAGCCATACACACCTTCTGGGGCTGCACCGGGTCCACGATGGCAGCCTCCTTGGTCTCGTCGTCAATGACCAGGTACATGTAGTTGTCGGTCAGGGCAGGCAGCACCTCCACCTTCATGGTGCCCTCGTCCACAGTCAGCCTCTTCCGAAAGTCTGTGTGGTGGAAAACTCCCAGCAGGGCTGGACCTGCAGACAAAGCACAACTCAGCTGGTGTCTGCACCAGGCCCTCCACAACAGGACGGACACACTACAGTGCTTCCCAGCCTTTCTAGGTTCCTCTGAAAGGAAATACCCTGGCCAGATGCGGTGCTTCTTGCCGGGAATCCCAGCGCTTTAAGAGACTGAGGTAGAAGGATGGCTTGAGGGCAGCAGTTTGAGACGAGCCTGGGCAATATAGCAAGGCCTGGTCTCTACAAATTTAAAAATTAGCCAGGTGTGGTAGCGCATGCCTGTAGTCCCTGCTACTACGGAGGCCGAGGCAAGAGGATCGCTTGAGCCTGGGAGTTTGAGGCTGCAGTGAGCTATGACTGTGCCAGTACACTGCAGCCTAGGTGACAGAGTAAGATCCTGTTCCTTAAAAAACAAAAGAACCAAAAGGAGTAACTTCGTATGTCCCCAAAGAAAACACCAAAATTGACTCATGCTCATATTCATGTAAATCAACTGTTTCAGACTTATGATCTGTATTTTCTTTTTTGAGACCTCTGAAAGGACAGGATGGCCAGCTTGTGGCTGTGAAACAAACTGCTGTCTGGTATGACTCCTGCCAGCTCTGGGGTATGCACACCCCGGACTCAGGGACAGAATGTGAAGAAAGGAATGCGACTAGAGGTGCCCCAGCCTGGCCATCTGCCCTCCAGCTAGCTGTGCTGCCACTACTGACTAAACCAGCCCACATTCTATGCAGTTACTCACAGCCATTCTCAGCCTCCAGCCAGAGAGAACCAATACATGACAGGAGGCTGAGGCAGGAGAATCGCTTGAACCCGGGAGGTGGAGGCTGCAGTGAGCCAAGATTACCCCACTGCACTCCAGCCTGGGTGACAGAGGGAAACTGTCTCAAAAAAAAAAAAAAACAAAAAAAAACTTGCTCTTGAACAGCAGGAATGTGAGATGCAGATAATGCACAAAAATCAGCAGTTTTTTGGGAAGTAGAAAAGTTTTTTTTTCTTTTTTTTGAGACGGAGTTTCGCTGGTTACCCAAGCTGGCGTGCAATGACGTGATCTCGGCTCAACTGCAACCTCCGCCTCCTGGGTTCAGGCAATTCTCCTGCCTCAGCCTCCTGAGTAGCTGGGATTACAGGCACGCGCCACCATGCCCAGCTAATGTTTTGTATTTTTAGTAGAGATGGGGTTTCACCATGTTGACCAGGATGGTCTCGATCTCTTGACCTCGTGATCCACCCGCCTCGGCCTCCCAAAGTGCTGGGATTACAGGCTTGAGCCACCACGCCCGGCCGAAAAGCTCCTTTTTAAAGTTGCCTTTCTTATTAAAAAATTAGTATGCTAACAACTTTGTTAAGCCCTATCCTGTGTAGCTGGTAGACATGCTATGCTTACAGGCACGTAGTACATTCTATGTCCTTGTACTTTAACCAGGATATCTGGGCTGGACGTGCTCACAGGCCTATCCCAGCTCTCCATTGCTTTTACCTGTTTTAAGAAAAGTTTTAAGTTATTAGCCAATCGGGCTGTAGTTTAAATTGTGAGGTCTGACTCCAGCCAACAGAGATCAGACACAGAAGTAAAAATAACCCCAAATGCGTGAGGGATAAATGTGTGCGTTTTCCTTTGTTCACTGTACTCTGTGGCAAGATGGCCAGTGAGGGTACCCTTCCTGCAGTCCAGGAAGTAAAAATTGCATTGCAGAAAGATCCTTTGTTTCAGGGCTGATTTTTCTTTCCAGCACCGAGCATCTATTTCCAACATCCTTTGAGACGGAAAGCTGGCCACAACTGCCCCAGATTCCAGTGTGGAGGATACAAAAATCACCATCCAAATGCCCTAAAGGACTCTGCCACAAGGGCCCAGGAGGTGGGAGGAGTGGGTGACCAAAGGAACCAAAGTGTCTGCCAGGCAGCAGAAGTATTTTAGCAAGAGACCCCCACTAAACCTAAAAATACATGGGGGCCCTGACAATAAATACCTTCAGTTCCACTCTATGGGGGGAAAAACACAAAAGGTGAGAGAGGAGAGTGGAATCCTGGGGCAGGTGCCAGGGCAAGGACTTCTCCCAAAAGGGATCCAGAATGGGCAGTGCCCAACAACCGGGAGACACACACATCTCCAGGGCTCATCTAAATGCGGAATCCAGCCTTATTTCCACAGCCAGGGAAACTGCCCAAACTCTAGCTTCAATCATTGTACAAAGACATCCAGTTACCCTTCTGACAGCCAGCTGGGAGTTTTCCAGGTCCTCCTCCTCATGCACATAATACCTACATTTCTGTATGAGCAGCTTCCTGTGATATTCCCCTTCCCCTTAGCCTCATTACTATCCCAACCAAAGGGGTAGAGCAAGCGGAGTGTGGGTGCTGGAGGCTGCAGGTGGGGTGCAGAAGGGTTGTGACAGGACACCTGGAGTGCCGGGGCATCCTCCTGGAAAGGAGCTCCATCGATACTAGCAGAACATTACAAACAAAAATACTGCCCATGTGCGGTGACTCATGCCTGGAATCCCAGCACTTCGGTAGGCGGAGGCAGGCAGACCATTTGAGGTCAGGGGTTAGATACAAGCCTGGCTAACAAGGTGAAACCCTGTCTCTACTAAAAATACAAGAATTAAGCCGGGCGCGGTGGCTCAAGCCTGTAATCCCAGCACTTTGGGAGGCCGAGGCGGGTGGATCACGAGGTCGAGAGATCGAGACCATCCTGGTCAACATGGTGAAACCCCGTCTCTACTAAAAATACAAAAAAATTAGCTGGGCATGGTGGCACGTGCCTGTAATCCCAGCTACTCAGGAGGCTGAGGCAGGAGAATTGCCTGAACCCAGGAGGCGGAGGTTGCAGTGAGCCGAGGTCGCGCCATTGCACTCCAGCCTGGGTAACAAGAGCGAAACTCCGTCTCAAAAAAAAAAACAAAAAAACAAAAAAACAAAAAAAAAAAACAAGAATTAGCAGGGCGTGTTGGTGGGCGCCTATAGTTCCAGCTACTCAGGAAGCTGAGGCAGGAGAATTGCTTGAGCCAGGGAGGTGGAGGTTGCAGTGAGCAGAAACTGGTGACTGCACTGCCCAGGTGAAGGAAATATTTACAACTGGTGCTCAGCCTCACCTGGGGACCACCACAGCCTCCTGAAGAAGCTGACAAGACATGGAAGCGCCTTTATTGAGAAAAGAACGCAGATGGTGCCAGTACCAGCAGAAACCTTATTCCCTTTCCATATCACTCAGCCCAACACTGCCTGGAAAATGTTCCCAGCTCACTGTTTTCTAACTTTAATACTCCGTACAAACAGAGGTCAAGGACCTGCAGCCCAGGGGGGTCTGGACCAAGTTCAGACACATGTTTAGTTTGGCCCACAAAAAAAGAAAAAAAAAAAGATATGGTCTCAGTCTGTCTCCTAGGCTACGGTGCAATGGTGCGATCACGGGTCACTGCAGCCTCCACCTCCCAAACTTAAGCGATCCTCCCGCCTCAGCCTCCAAAGTGACTGAGACTACAGTCGTGTGTCACCACACCCAGCTAATTTTATTTTTTGTAGAGATGAGATCTCCTCATGTTGCCCAGACTGGTCTGGAACTCCCGGACTCAAGCAATGCTACCGCCTGGGCCTCCCAAATTGCTGGAATGACCGGCGTGCGTCACTGCACTTCTTTTTTAAATCAGGAAGTTTCACAGCACCTAGCTTCCCTGGAACTGGGCGGCACCAGATACTGGCGCAGGGAGCTCCCTTCGAATGCGGCAAGCACGCCCTTCCGATGCCCACAGTCCCACTCGAACCCTCCCCCTGCGCCCTTGTGAATGTCCCTAAAACGCTAATTCCGAGGACATCAAAATCCTTGCTCTTTCCTTAGCAATGGCGACATTCTACCCCCAGCAAAGCCTTGACAGCTTTCGGCGATATTTGGAAACCGCCAGGGTCGCCTTCCCGCCTGCGCCTCCGCCCGCCCAGTGCCCTGCGCTGCGCACCCTCCAGGGGAACTGGCCTGGCCCGGCCTCGCAGTCCCCTCGGGACGGATGCCACGCCAGGTCCCCAGACAGGGAGTCTCCGGCGCCGGGCGCGCAGCTCGATCCCCGCAGGCGGCGCCGCCACAGCGCGGTCCTCGAAGCCAGGCAGCGGGTGCGGGGTGGGCCGGGCGTCCGGAGGCCGCGCCCAGGCTCTCCACGCCGCCGACCCGGACAGGACGCGACGCCCAGGCTGCGTCAGAAGCGCAGCCGGCCCAGCCCGAGTGTGGAGGCCGCGGGGGGACGCAGGCCCGGCCCCGCTTACCTAGCGCCTTCCGCACCCGCGGCCCCGCGCCCGCTCCGCGCCCGCCTCAGCGCCTGCGCCGCCTCCGCTCGAGCCGTGCAGCGCGGCCTCAGGCACCTGCGCAGCAGAAACGGCGTCAGCGACCGCCAACCGACGGCCCCGCGCCGTCCGCCCCCTGCCCCGCAGGGCCCGCGCCCCACGGCCCGCCCCGCCCCGCCGCACCCACCCAGGCCTCGGCGGCTGCAGGCGGCTCCCAACGCGGCGAGGCTCCGGCGGCCGAGCAGCCCGCGGCCCAGCACCATGACCGGAGCGGGGCTTGACGGCCCGGCGGCCAGCGGCCGCGAAACACCGGCGTCGGCGCGCCGCAGCCAATCAGCGTTCGCCTCGCGCCGCCGTCAGCCAATTAGCGTCCGCTTCTCACCGTCCGCCAGCCAATAAACGCGCTCGTGCTCAACCCGTTTTCTCCCCGAGCACCGAATGCCGCGGCCTACGGGACGTGACTGGGGCGGTGACGGTGGCCCGAGAGCTGGGCCGGGAGAGCTGTGCCGCGAGCCTCCGCCTCTTTCCCGGCACCGCACAGCAGCTCCCTGGAGGCCGAGCGTAGCGCCACCCGGGCACCCCGCAGATCGCGAAGTGGAACGGGCCGTCGCTGGGGCGCGGGGGGGGGGAGGGGAGAGAACAGCGTTCCGAGGCAGTTGGTTCTCTCCGGGATGCCGTAGGCATCAGCTGACTGGTCCAGCTCACGTGACTGCAGGGGCCCTTGGTTGGAGTCATGGCGCCCTCCAGGCCACTGTCCCGCTTCTGGGAGTGGGGGAAGAACATCGTCTGCGTGGGGAGGAACTACGCGGACCACGTCAGGGAGATGCGCAGCGCGGTGTTGAGCGAGCCCGTGCTGTTCTTGAAACCGTCCACGGCCTACGTGCCCGAGGGCTCGCCCATTCTCATGCCCGCGTACAGCCGCAACCTGCACCACGAGTTGGAGCTGGGCGTGGTGATGGGCAAGCGCTGCCGCGCAGCCCCCGAGTCCGCGGCCATGGACTACGTGGGCGGCTATGCCTTGTGCCTGGATATGACCGCCCGGGACGTGCAGGACGAGTGCAAGAAGAAGGGGCTGCCCTGGACTCTGGCCAAGAGCTTCACGGCGTCCTGCCCGGTCAGCGCGTTCGTGCCCAAGGAGAAAATCCCTGACCCTCACAACCTGAAGCTCTGGCTCAAGGTCAACGGCGAGCTGAGACAGGAGGGTGAGACATCCTCCATGATTTTTTCCATCCCCTACATCATCAGTTATGTTTCTAAGATCATAACCTTGGAAGAAGGAGATATTATCTTGACTGGGACGCCAAAGGGAGTTGGACCTGTTAAAGAAAACGATGAGATCGAGGCTGGCATACACGGGCTAGTCAATATGAGATTTAAGGTGGAAAAGCCAGAATACTGAGGTATTTCTTAAGTTTCATGAGGGAAGGGAGCAAGACAAAAGCAAGCAACAGCTATTAAATGTCACAATATTTTAATAAGAAACAAATTATTTAAAAAATGATTAGATTGCCATGCCTCAATTCCTAGAAGATGGCCTCTTCAAGAAAACGTGACGTAGAACAAATGGGCCAGAAATTAACACAGCCAAAGTAAAGTATTTCTTCGGAAAAGATTTTATGAAACCAAATGCTAAAAACAGTTTCCTTTTGTAAAAATTGGAGAAGACTTTTCAGTGGGTTATCTATAGGATGATCAGTAGTTCAGGACCTAAAAACTATAGAGAAAACGGAAAGTTATTTTGCAGGTAACTTTCCAGTGTTTCCGAAATTTTCTCAGACTTGGTAATCATCAGGAAGAATTTGTAAAAATAAAAATTTCCAAATTACTGGCCCATCCCAGATTCACTGAATCAATTTGATAGGATTAATCTCTGGTGAAGCAATGTTTACAGAGCACTCCAAGTGATTCCTATCAGGGAAATGTGGAAAAACACTGCTGTACAGAATCAGTTTATTTAAAATTTTACTTAGTAAGTGAACAGTTGATGAAGATTTCACCTATTTACTGAGAGTATCTACCCAGACCCATTGATTCTGAGTTCAAAAGATGATTTTGAAATTATTATTGTCCAAATAAAGGTGCTGCTTTTTTGTGGCTTACAAGTGTATTTTTTCTCCCAGTAATGGTGAAGAGGGAATATTTCCTTTTTATGGGACTTTAGACCTTAGTCTTTGACTTTTGACCTTCTGAGCACTGTGCTGTATTAACAGAGTTAATCAGCAACTGTACCTCCCAACCGGAGATAGGGAAGCTTTGTGGAAGTTGAATAGCCTGGGACTGCTGCTTTTGCTCTTGCCTGCACCCTTCTCTGAAAAAAAAAAGTCTAGACAAAATGCACAGCATAGCTATTAATGCCTAGAGGAGTCCTCTGGGCTTCGGCAGGGGTTCTGCTGGCCCCTTGAAGAAAGCCTAGGACAGGTGTGCATGAGCCCACTGAGGCCATTTATCCGGCCCCCCGCCGCACTTCAGGAAGGGGCACCTCTTTCATTGGTGGTCAGTGAGAGGAGCACAGTATGTGGCGGCCCTCCAGCGGTCTGAGGGACAGTGAACTGGCCCCCTGTGTAAAAAGTTTGGGGACGCCTGGCCTAGAACATCTAATTTAGTAATAATGGTCAACATTTGTTGAACATAGTACTGTTAGGCATCATATCAAGCAGTTTAGTCTGTATTTCTATGTATTATGTAACCCTCAACCAAGCCGTAATGTTAGTATTATCATTACCGTCCCCATTACTCAGATGAAGACAGATCTAGAGCAAGCCTGGCTAAATCACACAGCTTTGTGGCAGAGCCAAGATGTAACCCAGCTCTCCCAAGAGCAGACCTGAAGTCTTGACCACAAAGTGGGCTGCATCTTGTAAGCAGATATATAAGAAGAATCAAACATTTACGTATGCTACTACAACCCCATGCTTAAATTATAATTTAATATGAGGAAGTGCCATAATTTGATTCCCTTATTAAATATGATGCTATCTTAACTACTTTTATCTTTTACTGTTCTTTCTTTTTTCGTTGCTTGGCAATGCATGTAATTACAGAAGAGTCAGAAAATAGAAATTAGCAATTAGAACAAAACAAAAATTTCATCTACACAGAGATAGCCGAAGTTAAGCTTAGTGCAAGTGCTTCCAAATCTGTGGATATAATTGTAACTTTTTAAATAGACTTTACTCATATCATATAATTTTCTTAATTTGTTTTTTTTTTAAATGTAGTTTCATTCTTGTTGTAGAGGCTGGAGTACGGTGGCATGATCTCGGCTCACTATAACCTCTGCCTCCCGGGTTCAAGTGATTCTCCTTCCTCAGCCTCCCAAGTAGCCGGGATTATGGGCATGTGCCACCACACCCGGCGAATTTTGTATTTTCAGTAGAGATGGAGTTTCACCATGTTGGTCAGCTTGGTCTCAAACTCCTGACCTCAGGTGATCCAGCTGCCTCAGCCTCCCAAAGTGCTGGGATTTCAGGCATGAGCCATCGTGCCTGGCTGTACCATGCAATTTTCTAACTTGCTTATTCCACTGTACATTGTTACCATCTTTTTCCTTGTTATCTGACAGATTTCTGTAGTATGATTTTTGATGGATTGCATGATTTGGAAGACAGGCCTCCATTTTTGGACCTTAAGATTGTCTCTTTTTTTTCTTTTTTTGTTTTTAGGTAATGCTGCTAAAGAGATTGTCTCTAATGATTTGTTAGTATCAGCACATGAGCTGTTACTTCCTTTGGCTAGGTTCCCAATAAGTGGAAGAGTCGGATCAAAGGGTGTGCTCATACTGAAAGTGCGTTATTAGTCTAGCTAGCAAGTACAAGGTTCAGCTGAGATACATCTACCAAGTTGACAGACTATTAAAGCCAAAGGTATAAAGTAGGAGCACTATTCACATGCAGCCCTAGTAGGTGGCACAAGCCAGCACCGAGTACTGTGCCCCTGGGGTCAGTGTTCACCACAATGGTAGAACAAGCTTTCTCACAAACATCAACATCAGCATTGCAAATGTAGGCACACGAAACCCTTAGATACAAGAACCAAAAACAAAGACACCAAGTCCAACAATTCTTGATGTTGCTAAAATCATAATCCCAGCATTCAAAAGATACACTTTTCCACTTCTTATTTTGAATACATTTAAACCTATGAAAAAGCTGAAAGACTAATACAGTGAACTCCATATACCCTTTAATAGATTCAACAATTATTAACATTCACTATGTCCCCTGGTCCTGTGTCTCTTCCTTGCTCCCCCATGTGTGTATATACACATGTACCTCTTTCTCTCTCTCCATACACACACACACACACACACAAACACACACACACACACACACGGCCTTATTTTGGAAATGTGTTGGGATGGTTACTGCAGAAACACTGCCCTTTCAGCACTGATCTCCTAAGAATCAGGATATTCGCCTACATAGATGTAAGACTGGCTAGGTGTGGTGGCTCACGCCTGTAATCCCAGCACTTTGGGAGGCTGAGGCAGGTGGATCATGAGGTCAGGAGTTCAAGACCAGCCTGGCTAAGATGGTGAAACCCAGTATCTACTAAAAATATAAAAATTAGCCAGGCATGATGGTGGGCGCCTGTAATCCCAGCTACTCCGGAGGCTGAGGCAGAGAACTGCTCGAACCCGGGAGGCAGAGGTTGCAGTGAGCCAAAATCATGCCACTGCATTCCAGCCTGGGTGACAGAGCGAGACTCCGTCAAAAAAAAAAAAAGGCTGGGCGCAGTGGCTCAAGCCTGTAATCCCAGCACTTTGGGAGGCCGAGGCAGGTGGGTCACGAGGTCAAAAGATAGAGACCATCCTGGTCAACATGGTGAAACCCCATCTCTACTAAAAATACAAAAAATTAGCTGGGCATGGTGGCACAGCCTGTAATCCCAGCTACTCAGGAGGCTGAGGCAGGAGAATTGCCTGAACCCAGGAGGCGGAGGTTGCGGTGAGCCGAGGTTGTGCCGTTGCACTCCAGCCTACGTAACAAGAGCGAAACTCCGTCTCAAAAAAAAAAAGAGAGACCATTATCACAGTTAAGAAAATTCCAGGCCGGGCGCGGTGGCTCAAGCCTGTAATCCCAGCACTTTGGGAGGCTGAGGCGGGTGGATCACGAGGTCAAGAGATCGAGACCATCCTGGTCAACATGGTGAAACCCCGTCTCTACTAAAAATACAAAAAATTAGCTGGGCATGATGGCGCGTGCCTGTAATCCCAGCTACTCAGGAGGCTGAGGCAGGAGAATTGCCTGAACCCAGGAGGCGGAGGTTGCGGTGAGCCGAGATCGCGCCATTGCATTCCAGCCTGGGTAACAAGAGCGAAACTCCATCTCAAAAAAAAAAAGAAAAAGAAAATTCCAGCCAGGTGTGATGGTTCACGCCTGTAATCCCAGCACTTTGGGAGGCTGAGGCGGGCGGATCATCTGAGGTGGGGAGTTTGACCAACATGGAGAAACCCCATCTCTCATTAAAAAGAAAAAAAAAAAAGAATAGCAGGGCATGGTGGCACATGCCTGTAAATCCTAGCTACTCAGGAGGTTGAGGCAGGAGAATCGCTTGAACCCTGGAGGCGGAGGTTGTGGTAAGCCAAGATCCCACCACTGCACTCCAGCCTGGGCAACAAGAGTGAAACTCCATCTAAAAAATAATAATAATTCCACAATATATTAGTCTGCACAGACTATATGACTTGACATCTGTTTTGTTGTGTTTTTAAAACATATTCATTGGGCTTTTGTAAAAAATGAGTATTCCACATCCACTTAATATATTATAAACATATTTTCAGGTCAGTGAATATAGGTATACATAACCCTTTTTAATGGTGTATCTTGGATCTTGTACCCTAGAAGCACATTCTTGTTCCCATGATTTGCTGAAGAAGAGCTGTTAGGAGAAGCGCAGTGAAACAGAAAGGGCAGTGAGCAAACTCCAAGGAATAAAGTGGTCTCTGAGCTGGACACCAGCTTCAGTCAGCTGGTGAACCCAAAGGGAAGCTCTGGAGCAAGGAGTGTGTTGGCACCAGAATATGCTTTCCCTGCCTCTTCCATAGCTGTGTCAGGTAATTTTCTGACCCTCATAGAAGCTGAGGGACTTCAGCAAGAGAAGAGTTCAAGGTGGGGCATCCCCTATAGGTTGCACAGGTTTCAGATGCTCTGCTATTAGAAATGATGTGGCCAGGCGCTGTGACTCACACCTGTAATCCCAGCACTCTGAGAGGCCAAGGTGTGTGGATCACAAGGTCAGAAGTTTGAGACCAGCCTGGCCAATATGGTGAAACCCCATCTCTACTAAAAATACAAAAGCTAGCCGGGCATGGTGGTGGGCGCCTGTAGTCCCAGCTACTCAGGAGGCTGAGGCAGCATTGCTTGAACCCAGGAGGCAGAGGTTACAGTGAGCTGAGATCACACCATTTCAGTCCAGCCTGGGTAACAGAATGAGACTCCACTTCAAAAAAAAAAAAAAAAAAAAAAAAGAAAAAGGGAAATGATGCAAGGAGCATCTTCCATATACTCTACATCAAAGGTCCCCAACCTCCAGGTCACCAACCACCACCAGCCTGTGGCCTGTTAGGAAGCGGGCCGCAAAGCAGGAGGCAAGTGAGCATTACTGCCTGAGCTCTGCCTCCTGTCAGATCAGTGATGGCATTAGATTCTCTTAGAAGCGTGAACCCTATTGTAAATTATGCAGGTGAGGGATCTAGGTTGCGCATTCCTTCTAAGAATCTAATGCGTGGATCTAAGGTAGAACATTTCCATCCTGAAACCGTCGCCCCCTCTGCAATCAGTGGAAAAACTGCCTTCCGCAAAACCAGTCCTAGGTGCCGCAAAGGTTGGGGCCACTGCTCTACATCACTGGCACTTGCTTGTTTCCTTAGGGAAGTCTTAGAAGTGAAATCAATGCAATGGTTTGCACTTTGAAATTTTGACACTTTTTGCCAAATTGCAGAGAAAAAAATACCATGTTGCATTTGACAAGAGTGTTTAGGAACACTTTTACTTGGACACTCTAGCCAATGCTGGGTATCATGGCTATAGTCATTTTAATTTGCTTTTCTTTCATAGGAAAGCTGACATATGTATGTTTATATTCATTTTTTTTAACGACTACTTGGCACATCTTTGGCATAACTGTTGGTACAGTATCTTTGTTTTCAAGATAGTTTTATATTACCTTTCAACACATTTAATTCAAATATGCTAAAACCTTCATTTAATTATTTTACTCTTCTTCTTAAAAATGTAAGTGTAATTATATAGTAGGAAAAACATTCAAGTTATAAAAGCAGAATAGCTGTGCCCAGTCATGTGCACCTGTAATCCCAGCTCTTTGGGAGGCTAAGACGGGAGGATCACTTGAGCCCAGGTGTTTGAGACCGTACTGGACAATATAGTGAGACCTTGTCTCAGAAAACAAAAAAGCAGAAATCACATAACAAAAATATTAGCAAATATGAGGGCCAATAAAATTGCTGAACTTAGGCTGAGTGCAGTGGCTCATGCCTGTAATCCCAACAATTTGGGAGCCTGAGGCAGGTGGATCACTTGAGCCCAGGAATTGAAGACCATCCTGGGCAAAATGGCAAGATCCCTGTCTCTACAAAATTTTTAAAAATTAACCTAAAATTAGGTGGCATCTCCTAAGCTCCTAGACACAGGGCTCAATGGAGGGGGCACCATAGCCACTGTTGCTGAACCAACAGTGGGAGCCAAGCCAGCACCAGCCATGGCATCCTCACTTCTCTCCTCTCCTGCCTGGCTCTTCATCCTTCCTTCTCTTTCCACCCTCCCCATTCACCTTGCTTCAGAACCCCCAACTTCTCCCCAAGGGAGGATGGAAGGCCTGTTCTGCACAGCTAGGTCAAGTCGTTCATTACCTTGTTTGTTACCACAATTTGTATACTTGGGTAAACCTGCATCCTTCCTCTGTGGCTGCACATGGTAAAAGCCAGATAAAACATTATGACAAGATAGTCTATGTCCCAACACCAGCCTTAGGAAACAGCTTCGTATACTCACTTTTTCCTTTTCCTCAATCCTGTGGTGGACGACGTGTAGCCTTCTAAAGTACCAGGCCAAACTTCCCAGGCTGTGGGTCTACACTGACCTTAGCAGTGGGTCTTCACAGTCTGGAGTCAGTGCCCTGAAGCAAGTGACTTGTCAATGGCGTGGAGTTGAGCAGTCTACTTGGTGGCTGCTGCAAAGAAAACGGAGATAAAATGGCAGCTGTCGTCCTCACATCCTGAGTAGGTCCCCCTCAGAGTTCTGAGACTTGGGCACGCTTATGAAACTTTTGAAGTTGGTCTCCTCCCAGTTGATTTCAGACTCAGTCATGTCAGCCCTGAGCCAGCAAGCCTCCACAAGCACTGGGTAATCCAGTGTGTCACCAGAGAAGACAAGGGGCTAGAAAACCTCCAGGTGCTCAAAGCAGTTGCACAGAATTGCCCACAACTTTGGCTTTTCCCACCTGGCACCGAGAGCCCCTTGCCCTCATCCTGTCGGCCACCACCCAGCTCTCAGAAGTTTGTCTTTAGAGGTCCTACTCTATTTCCAGGGAACCAAGACAAAGAATAAACTGGCTTAAGAAAATAAATAATTCAAAACTGTAGAAGACTAAATGTTTATTAATTCATGTAAACATTTTCCAACTTGGGAGGAGACAAGGCAAAGCCAGTAGGAGGCCTTCTAGGAAAGAAGGTCAGATGAGAGGCCTTCAGACTCGCCCCAGACCAGATCCACCATAACAGTTTCTAGAAACAGGTTAGTCACATGTAAACAAAACATAATTTTCAAATTATTATTCCATTTTAAAGGGAGTTAAAACTCCTATACTTTCCCAGAGTTTAAAATGATAGACTATTTTAAACATGTTTTTATCCAGACAAGCTTCGGCTCGCCTCAGTGGGATCTGCAAGCTTGCATGACAGTACACTAATTTTCAATCCACTCCTTGCTCTGTGCGATACAACAAACTGCAGGGAGAAACAGAGAAAGAGACAAAAGTTTAGTTTTAAAAATCCCCTTGTATATAAAGGTAAAAATCAATGATCGCAAATAGAGAACTGCAATGGAAGTTTTGTTTAGAGATACTAATATAAACTTCCATTGAAGTTTTTTTTTTTTTTTATGGTGAAAAGATATACATATATTTAGAATTAGCCAGCTGGACTCAGTTTAGATGATCCCAATTTTGTTGGCAACATCCAAAGCATCATAATCAGGAGCCAGTTGAACATATGCCTTCTTCTCTCCGTCAGGCCGAATCAGGGTGTTGACCTTGGCCACATCCATGTCACAGAGCTTCCTCACAGCCTGTTGGATCTGGTGCTTGTTGGCTTTAACATCCACAATGAACATAAGTGTGTTGTCTCCTATCTTCTTCATGGCAGACTCAGTGGTCAGCGGAAACTTGATGATAGCATAGTGGTCGTTTGTTTCTCCGGGGGGTGCTCTTCCGAGGATATTTGGGCTGCCTCCGGAGTCGCAGTGTCTTGGGCCGCAGGAAGGTGGGTGACGTGCGGATCTTCTTTTTTTTGTGGCCGTGGACACCTTTCAACACTGCCTTCTTGGCCTTTAAAGCCTTTGCTTTGGCTTCGGCTTTGAGGGGGCAGGAGCTTCATTCTTCGCGCCATCTTGTGAAAAAGGTCCTCCATTGAAGTTTTAAGATGACGGGAAGAGTCCCAGTCTCAGAGTATGGTTGATAATTTACAGGTCTGGCTTCTGACTGATTTGGTAAAAATTTATGTCACTTTTCATGCTATTTCTCTCATATAGGAAAATTGGGATTAAAAGTCTAATGCAGGGCTGGGCACGGTGGCTCATGACTATAATCCCACTACTTCCGGAGGCCAAGGCAGGCGGATTGTTTGAGGCCAGAAGTTCAAGACCAGCCTGGCCAACAAAGTGAAACCCTGCTCTACTAAAAATAAAAAAATTAGACAGGCGTGGTGGTGTACAACTGTGGTCCTGGCTACTCGGGGGCTGAGACAGGAGGATTACTTGAGCCTGGGGAGGTTGAGACTGAAGTGAGCTGGGATCACATCACACACTCCAGCCTGGGTGACAGAGCAAGCAGAGCGACTCTGTCTCAAAAAATAAATAAATAAAGTCTAACATAGGAAAAAGGGCTTAATGTGTATTAAACTACCAATTGTGATAGACTTCAAGCTGTAGCAGGGACTCAATCCGTGAGATTACAGGAATATGATAATATAACTTACTAATAATAGTCTCATTTTTTACAATTTATACAGCACTTTAACCAACATTTTATTTAATATAGAGTGGAAAGACATATCAACCACTTTAATTTCAAGACTGAGGAAAAACATGTACCAATGTGATGGAAAATTGTGAAAGACTTTAAATGGGCACTAAGTGGGTACCCTTTCAATGGAATGTTGTGGTGGTGGCATTGGCTGGAACACCTTCAGAGCTGTCTGATTCTACAGGGCTGAACCTCCCATTGCACGGACTGAGCTGTTTTAGAACTAGGTTGTAGAAAGCTGATAGTGACTCACATAATCCTGCTCATGGAATCCCCATGAAGTGTATCTGAGTGAAGATGCATTGGCTCTGCCCTGTAGAAGAGTCCAGTGGTGCATCTACAAGCAAACTCATTCTGTATCTATCCTTCCAATTCCCCTTTGAATCTTTTCTCCCCCTACATGTTACTGATTCCTTCATTAATTAACGAGTTAAATCTTCAACATGTGTTACAGTATTTTTGTATGAGTCAGGGTTTCTGGATTTTACGTCTTTTTATTTGTAAAATACTGTTACCTAATGCACCAAGCAGCTTGTCTGTAATTGTGAGTATTTGTGAAAGCCACTAGGAACATCTGTTAAACACATTCTCTAGAAAAGTCCAGTATCCTTTGACTTGAGGGTCATTTCATTGTTGTATTGAATCAAATTTAAAGTCAAAACTCTTAAGTTCCCATGAACTTCAATTGATGAGATTCATTAACAAGTGGTGCCTCCTATCTAGAGGGAAAGCATACAGAGTTGGTCAAGGACTTGAGCTTGCCCTGACTTGTGACAGTCTCTAAGAGTCCATGCTAACCATTGAAGTGATGTAGCTTCTTACTGCCACTTTTATTCCTTTGGCCTGGTAATGAAGAGGCCTCAAGCCAAGGTCCTAGAAATATTGGTAAGGCCGCTGAAGACTCCATGTCCAGAAATTATCCCTGAGCTGGTGGCCATGGAAAATGGGAAAAGCTGCTTATAAGGCTGAGATGGAGGAGAGGCAGCATTCACAAATGCTCCTGCAGGGTGTCCATGAAATGAAAACTAATTTCATCATAACACTAATTCATCAGCACACGATGTTTTCCAGAGGCTCCATGATACCATTAGTCTGACACAACTGGAATGTGTGTTCTAGAATATTTAAAATTTTTTTCAGTATTAAGTTCCAGTACAGCAAATATCAGTAGATATAACTCACACAAACAGGAACACATTGACTTATGGGAGACTAATAGAGAAAAGAGTTGAGAAGCATGAAGTCAAACAATAAGGCTGGCTGAGTCCAGTCTCACCTGTGACCCAGAGCAAGTGGCAACACTTCTTGGTTCCACTTTTCTCATCTGCACCAGGGGACTCTATCTCACTGCACTTCTCCCCCTCTGACACCTTGAACACTAAGACTCTACGATCTTCCACACTGAAGTATTGTTAGTGCCTTGGGAGGCAGCTGTGGCCTTTCAGAGTTGGAAGATCATGGAATTTTGCAGCTTAGCAAAGTTAATTATCCTCCGCAGGGTCTCACAGGCTGACGTGTGATGGGATTAGGATTCAGACCAAATTTGTCTCCCCACCACAACACAAGCACTTACCTGTGCATCTTACACTGCCTCATTAAGTGAAGGGCAGCACCACAGGGTGAGTGGGAGTGGGGACAACCCAGTCTGACCTTTTAGGGTTGCGGGGGACAAGAAGGGGTCTCACTATGTTGCCCACGCTGGCTTCAAACTCCCGCGTTGAGGCGATCCTCCCACCTCAGCCTGCCAAGTAGCTGGGATTACAGGCATGCACTATTGCACCCAGCAGCTCTGATTTTAAAGTCCTTTGCCCTGCTTTGGATTTAACCTTAAAGGGTATTTTCTTTGTTGGTCTATTTTCTTGGATGTCTTTGGCAACTCCTTTATATAATTGGAAAAAAAAAAAAAAACCCTGGCTATTTCCTTTGTTTTTAGGGTAACTGAATCCTTATGCACATCTGGAACTGGGCTTAGAAATCATAAATTCCTGAACTTATCTAGGTTTTTCTTATGGTTTGAATATATAGAATAGTATGGCACTATAAAATGTACTAACTTTTAAATAAATTTTGCTTCTTTCCAAGAGAAATTGCCACTTTAATGCTGTTTTCTGTTCATCTGTCATTGCAAGAAACTCATTTACCTGGTTAAAAAAAAAAGATGAGACAAATATATCTGAAGTTTAAACAGACAATTCATTTTGACAACGGTGTGAAACAAACTTTTTCATTAGCAATGAAATTTTATTTGCAGTAATTACAGCTCAATTGTTTGTTTTTGCATTTGGCAAGAGGCTTTTTTTTTTTTTTTTTTGCCTTCTGTGACTCTAGCCAAAGAGGCACTTGTTTTTTATTTTTCTTTATGCTCAGTTCCAGATGTGCATAAGGACTCAGCTACCCTAAAAACAATGGAAATAGCCAGAGTTTTTTTTTTTTTTTTTTTTTTTTTTTTTTTTTTCATATTGTTTAAAGGAGTTCCCAAAGACATCAAAGAAAATAGACTAAGAGGCCAGGTGAGATGACTCACACCTGTAATCCCAGCACTTTGGGAGGCCGAGGCAGGCAGATCATAAAGTCAAGAGATCAAGACCATCCTTGCCAACATGGTGAAACCCTGTCTCTACTAAAAAATACAAAATTTAGCAGGGCGTGGTGGTGCGTGCCTGTAGTCCCAGCTACTTGGGAAGCTGAGGCAGAAGAATCATTTGAACCTGGGAGGTGGAAGTTGCAGTGAGCGGGGATCAAGCCACTACACTGCAGCCGGGCAACAGAATGAGACTCCATTTCAAAAAGACAAAAAAAATAGACCAACAAAGGTCTATAAAAATCCCAAATTTCTGGGATTACAGGTATACATACTGTTGCCTGGCTAATTGTTTTATGTTTTATTTTTTGTAGAGACAGGGTCTTGCTAAGTCGCCCAGGGTGATCTTGAACTCCTGGCCTCAAGCGATCCTCCTGTCTCAGCCTCCCAAATTGCTAGGATTACAGGTGTGACCCCCCCATGCCTAGCCAAATATATTGTTTTGACAGAGAAGATAAGTCAGGAAATGCTATATAAACAGAATCTCAAAAGGCGATCAGGTAGCTCAGCAAGGAAAACTCCTCTCAATAAAGTAGAAACAGAATTTGGTATTAAAGTCTAATGGTAAATTTCATGAGCTGGTTTTAACAATAAAAACCAAGTGCCTATTACCAAATGCACATGCTAATCCCTAAGTAAGGGAGAAAACTTATGGTTGACTTTATGTAACTGGGTAGGTGAAACACAGCTATAATCCTCCCAGAAAAACCACCTTATGACTCATTAACATTTCAAACTTACTGTTTTACCCCTTGTTACTTGACTATATAAAATGTCATGTTTGGGCCGGGCATGGTGGGTCACACCTGTAATCCCAGCACTTTGGGAGGCCAAGGCAGGCAGATCACCTGAAGTCAGGAGTTCGAGACCAGCCTGGCTAACATGGTGAAACCTCATTTCAAAAAAATGAATAAAAATAAATAAAATGTCATGTTTTGTTGTTGTTGTTGTTGTTGTTGTTGTTTTTTCAGAGTCTCTCTGTCTCCCAGGCTGGAGTGCAGTGGTGTGATCTCGGCTCACTGCAACCTCCACCTCCTGGGTTCAAGTATCTCTCTGCCTCAGCCTCCCAAGTAGCTGGGATTATAGGTGGCCACCACCATGCCTGTCTAATTTTTGTATTTTTAGTAGAGACAGAGTTTCACCACCTTGGCCAGGCTGGTCTTGAACTCCTGACCTCGTGATCCACCTGCCTCGGCCTCCCAAAGTGCTGGGATTACAGGTGTGAGCCACCATGCCTGGCTTTTTTTTTTTTTTTTTAATAAAGACAGGGTTTTACCATGTTGGTCAGACCAGTCTCAAACTCCTGACCTCAGGTGATCCACCCACCTTGGCCTCCCAAAGTGCTGGGATTACAGGCGTGCACTGTTGCACCCTGCCTGTTGTTTTCTGAGACAGAGTCTTGCTCTGTCACTCAGGCTGGGGTGCAGTGGTGTGATCTTGGCTCACTGCAACCTCCACATCCTGAGTTCAAGTGATTCTTGTGCCCCAGCCTCCTGAGTAGCTGGGATTACGAGTGTGCATCACCATGCCCAGCTAATTTTTGCATTGTTAGTAGAAACAGGGTTTCGCCATATTGGCCAGGCTGGTCTCAAACTCCTGACCTCACGTGATCCACCCTCCTTGGCCTCCCAAAATGCTGGGTGTTTTATAGGCATGAGCCACTGCACCCAGCACTAAACAGTCATGTTTATTTCTCCATTTAGCCTAATGGCCTCAGTCATTATCACAACAGTAAAGATTAGCTAGGATTTTAACATAAAGTATGTAACATTTGTTCATTAAAGTGATGTGTGTTTAAAGCAAGATGATTTTTTTCCCAGACCGGTTTATGAGTGAATTAATTTCTATCAAATGTTTGACAAAACCACCTATATTTTTTTGGGAAAAAGCATTCACTTTGGAAATATTCTAAACATTTCTTCCTTTTTGCTATTTACCGTGCAGCCCAAAGTCTTCTCAGCAACATTTCCTGTGAGACTACAGGAATGAAGGGTACCTGTGTGATCAGTCAGATCGATCAGCATTTCAAAACTGACAAAGACAGATTTAAAGTCCAAGGAGTTTTTGTTGCAAGTTGTGCACATGTTAGATGCTTCATTTACAATATAACCACAGCTGGAACTGAAAAGAAACAGACAATGATAAAATGTGATGGCTCTAAGCGACAAATTTCATCTTTAGCAGAAAAAGAATTATCACTAAAAACTCTTAAGTCAGTGTGTGGGAAACTTACTGAGTGTTCAGTGCTGTGTAGAGTATAAGACACTCATAAAAAAACAGTAAAACACACTTTCTATGCAGTGATTCTCAGGATTCATCTGAAACTTCGTACACCAGTCCTCTCTCTGCCCTCCCTTCTTCCTTCCCTCTGTCGGTTCTGCCAAGCCCTCAAGGTCCAGCCCAGCCTTATTTCCCTGCTGGAGCCCTCCCTTCCTACATCCTAGCCAGCACCCTTTCCCTCCTGGAACAGCAGCAGAGCGCACGCCTCTGGAATGACTTGTCCTGTTGCATCAGCTCCTTATTTTCTCCTCACTGATTGGGAGTTTGAGGGCAGGAACTGTGTCTTGTGCCTGGAAAGCACGAATTCAACAGCTGCTCACTGGATGGTCCTGCACAGGGTCTTCTCTACAAATACAGAAAGCCCTGCAAAGCTGACCAGGTGGCACCCAGATGCTACTAAAACTGCTGGTGATACACTTGCCTCTCTTTCAGTGGTTTATGCTATTCAATAGTTCTGAAGCAGGCCTGACTTCAGCAATTTTGAATAGGGAGCCTAATTCAAGTTTCTCAAATAGAGGAAATGAACTAAAGATAGTGGTTTCTTGTCTGGCCACAGATCACTTGGTTTAGCAAATTTTATATGCTTTTCCTCAGATAATAATAAATGTACAGGGAAAATTTTTTTTAATTTTTGAAAACTATTTTTCAAAAAATGAACACAAGGCCCTACACAGCACCCTACACATTAGTTTTTTCAACTTTAATACCACATCATAAAATGTTTTAAAAATCCAGAGGTCAGGCCGGGCGCGGTGGCTCATGCCTGTAATCCCAGCACTTTGGGAGGCCAAGGCGGGTGGATCACGAGGTCAAGAGATCGAGACCATCCTGGTCAACATGGTGAAACCCCGTCTCTACTAAAAATACAAAAATTAGCTAGGTGTGGTGGCACCTGCCTGTAATCCCAACTCGGGAGGCTGAAGCAGGAGAATTGCTTGAACCCAGGAGGTGGAGGCTGCAGTGAGCCGAAATTGCGCCACTGCACTCCAGCCTGGGTAACAAGGGCGAAATTCCGTCTCAAAAAAAAAAAAAAAAAAAAAAATCCAGAGGTCAGTATCTTGACTGTGGCTATAGATACACAAACATACAAGTGTGATAAAACTAATTAGAACACAGACGACTGGCCGGGCGCGGTGGCTCAAGCTTGTAATCCCAACACTTTGGGAGGCCGAGGCGGGTGGATCACGAGGTCGAGAGATTGAGACCATCCTGGTCAACATGGTGAAACCCCATCTCTACTAAAAATACAAAAAATTAGCTGGGCATGGTGGCGCGTGCCTATAATCCCAACTACTCAGGAGGCTGAGGCAGGAGAATTGCCTGAACCCAGGAGGCGGAGGTTGCGGTGAGCCGAGATCACGCCATTGCACTCCAGCCTGGGTAACAAGAGTGAAACTCCGTCTCAAAAAAAAAAAAGAAAAAGAAAGTAAACTCCAGTAGATTTAATACTTTTTTTTTTTTTTTTTTTGAGACGGAGTTTCGCTCTTGTTACCCAGGCTGGAGTGCAATGGCACGATCTCGGCTCACCGCAACCTCCGCCTCCTGGGTTCAGGCAATTCTCCTGTCTCAGCCTCCTGAGTAGCTGGGATTACAGGCACGTGCCACCACGCCCAGCTAATGTTTTGTATTTTTAGTAGAGACGGGGTTTCACCATGTTGACCAGGATGGTCTCCATCTCTCGACCTCGTGATCCGCCCGCCTCGGCCTCCCAAAGTGCTGGGATTACAGGCGTGAGCCACCGCGCCCGGCTTTCTTTTTTTTTCTTTTTTGAGACAGTTTAGCTTGTTGCCCAGACTGGAGTGCAATGATGCAATCTTGGCTAACTGCAACCTCCACCTCCTGGGTTCAAACAATTCTCCTGCCTCAGCATCCCAAGTAGCACACACCACCATGCCTGGCTAATTTTTTAGGTTTTGTTTTTGTGTTGTTTTTTTTTTTTTTTGAGACAGAGTCTTGCTCTATTGCCAGGCTGGAGTGCAGTGGCACGATCCTGGCTCACTGAAACTTCATTTTCCGGTTTCAAGCAATTCTCCTGCCTCAGCCTCCCGAGTAACTGGGACTACAGGCACGCACCACCACACCTGGCTAATTTTTTGTATTTTTAGTAGAGACAGGGTTTCACTGTGTTGCCCAGGCTGGTTGTGAACTCCTGAGCTCAGGCACTCTGCCCATCTCAGCTTCCCAAAGTGCTGGGATTACAGGTGTGAGCCACAGTGATCAACAGAAAATAATTTTTTTTAATGCTGTCACTACATTGCTATAGGGCATAGCAACTAAAATAGTTTTCTGTCAAATCACTAGACAAATTTGTCTTCCTAGTTAAAAGTTTCTCACAATATCTTTTTTGTTAGAATTGCAGAAATACAGATATTTTATTTTAAAAGGCAATTATAATATATATATATATATATATATATATATATATATATATATATATATTTTTTTTTTTTTTTTTTTTTTTTTTGAGACGGAGTTTCGCTCTTGTTACCCAGGCTGGAGTGCAATGGCGTAATCTCGGCTCACCGCAACCTCTGCCTCCTGGTTCAGGCAATTCTCCTGCCTCAGCTTCCTGAGTAGCTGGGATTACAGGCACGTGCCACCATGCCCAGCTAATTTTTTGTATTTTTAGTAGAGACGGGGTTTCACCATGTTGACCAGGATGGTCTTGATCTATTGACCTCGTGATCCACCCGCCTCGGCCTCCCAAAGTGCTGGGATTACAGGCGTGAGCCATTATGCCTGGCAATTATAATATTTTAATCTAGTTTTCTATGGAAACTTTTCAGTATGGTTTTTTTTTTTTTTTTCTGAGATGGAGTTTCGCTCTTGTTACCCAGGCTGGAGTGCAATGGCGCGATCTCAGCTCACCGCAACCTCCGCCTCCCGGGTTCAGGCAATTCTCCTGCCTCAGCCTCCTGAGTAGCTGGGATTATAGGCACGCACCACCATGCCCAGCTAATTTTTTGTATTTTTAGTAGAGACGGGGTTTCACCATGTTGACCGGGATGGTCTCGATCTCTCGACCTCGTGATCCACCCGCCTCAGCCTCCCAAAGTGCTGGGATTACAGGCTTGAGCCATCGCGCCCAGCTTCAGTATGGTTTATCTGTTTATACATTTATCTCGAATGCATAACCCCTGTTATGTCAACAAACAGCTTTAACCATTACAGAGCTTAAAATTTATTAACAATATTTCTCACAAAAATGAATGTTAAAATAACATGGATCCTTACCATCTATTTCGAACCACTTTTGTAGTTTCATTATCAACGTTCAGTGTAGAAATGTAGGCATAAAGGATGCCATAGAAAGGATCAGCTTTTCCTTCATTCTTCAAAGCTTTTACCTTTAATTGTTCAACTGTATAGACATCAACTATTGTACTTACTAAAAATAAAAAGAAGTATTAAAGTTCTGTATATATTCTAAGAATTTAAAGGATTATATCCAAATGGAAAGCTATTAAGTTAAATCAAAACATGCAGTAGCTTAAGTAACAGAAAAATTACTATGTTGGCGCTATAAAAACACATTATGTAAATGGACAGAAAAGCAAAAAATAAGCAAAAAAAGAGAAGTGAAATTAGTCTTCACTAAAATGAAGAATTTCTGGTCATCAAAAGATACCATTAAAAAAGTGAAAAGGCAAGCCACAGACTGGGAGATGCTAGCAGTCTACAATGAGACAAAGGACTCATCCAGAATTATCTATAAAAAAATTCTTAAAAATCAATTAGAAAAAACAGGGACTCAATTTTTTAAATGGGAAAGAGACTTTTAAAAGTACATCACAAAAAAAGTTTGAAATGACCAATACATACTGGCCTCATTAATCATCAGGAAAATGCAAATTAAACAAGAATAGAATTACACTAAACACCTAACATTTAAAAGACTAATAACACAAACATTGGTGAGGATGTGAAGCAATAACAAAAAGAAACTTTACGAAACTAAAAACAATAACCTATTATTCATTTTTATTTTTCTTTTATCTTAGAAGAATCTTCCAAGAACAAATATTACTTGGGTAAGAAAACTTTTGGGTCGGGCGCGGTGGCTCAAGCCTGTAATCCCAGCACTTTGGGAGGCCAAGGCGGGCGGATCACAAGGTCAAGTGATCAAGACCATCCTGGTCAACATGGTGAAACCCCGTCTCTACTAAAAATACAAAAAATTGGCTGGGCATGGTGGCACGTGCCTGTAATCCCAGCTACTCAAGAGGCTGAGGCATGAGAATTGCCTGAACCCAGGAGGCGGAGGTTGCGGTGAGCTGAAATCATGCCATTGCACTCCAGCCTGGGTAACAAGAGCAAAACTCCGCCTCAAAAAAAAAAAAAAAGAAAACTTTTATCAGAAGTTATCTGGTTCCTTCAGCACTTCGATTGGTTTCTTTTCTTTTGTTGCTGTCTAGTACATGAAATTTAATTTTCTTCAATAAACAGATGGTGACATATATCTATTTATCTATAATATTTTTGTCTTTATCCTTCTATTAGTGTATATGCACAAAAAGATTAAAATATGTTAACAAAATAACTATTTATTTGGGACCGTTTGTTGCGTTCCGTATTGTGTTTCTTTTTTCTTTTCTTTTTTTTTTTTTAAGACAGTCTCATTCTGTTGCCCAGGCTGGAGTGTAATGGCACAATCTTGGCTCACTGCAACCTCCACCCATCAGGTTCAAGCAATTCTCCTGCCTCAGCCTCTAGAGTAGCTGGGACTACAGGTGCCTGCCACCACACCTGGCTCATTTTTTGTATTTTTAGTAGAGACGGGGATTCACTATGTTAGCCAGGCTAGCCTCAAATTCCTGACCTCAAGTGATCCATCCATCTCAGTCTCCCAAAGTGCTGGGATTACAGACGTGAGCCACCATGTTCTGCCAAGCATTCTGTACTTTGTTTCTTTTTTCTTTTTTCTTTTTTCTTTTTTTTTTTGAGATGGGGTTTCACTATGTTGGTCAGGCTGGTCACGAACTCCTGATCTCAGGTGATCCTCCCGCCTCAGCGTCCCAAAGTGCTGGAATTATAGGCGTCAGCTACCGCACCCGGCCTGTTTCTTTTTTTTTTTTTTTTGAGATGGAGTTTCGCTCTTGTTACCCAGACTGGAGTGCAATGGCACGATCTCGGCTCACCGCAACCTCCGCCTCCTGGGTTCAGGCAATTCTCCTGCCTCAGCCTCCTGAGTAGCTGGGATTACAGGCATGTGCCACCATGCCCAGCTAATTTTTTTGTATCTTTAGTAGAGACGGGGTTTCACCATGTTGACCAGGATGGTCTCGATCTCTTGACCTCGTGATCCACCCGCCTCAGCCTCCCAAAGTGCTGGGATTACAGGCTTGAGCCACCGCGCTCGGCCCGGCCTGTTTCTTTTATTTTTTCTTTGAGATGGAGTCTTGCTCTGTCACCCATGCTGGAGTGCAGTAGCATGATCTCGGCTCACTGCAACCTCCGCCTCCCAGGTTCAAGAGATTCTCCTGCCTCAGCCTCCCTAGTAGCTGGAACTACAAGCATATCCCATGATGCCCAGCTAATTTGTGTGTTTTTAGTAGAGATAGGGTATAGCCACGTTGGCCAGGCTGGTCTCATGAACTCCTGGGCTCAAATGATTCACCCATCTCAGCCTCCCAAAGTGCTGGGATTATAGGCGTGAGTTACTGCATCCAGCCTACTTTTAAAATTCTGAGCATTGGCCGGGAACGGTGGCTCACTCCTGTAATCCCAGCACTTTGGGAGGCCGAGGCGTGTGGATCACGAGGTCAACAGATAGAGACCATCCTGGTCAACATGGTGAAACCCCATCTCTACTAAAAATACAAAAAATTAGCTGGGCATGGTGGCACGTGCCTGGAGTCCCAGCTACTCAGGAGGCTGAGGCAGGAGAATTGCCTGAACCCAGGAGGCGGAGGTTGCGGTGAGCCGAGATCGCGCCATTGCACTCCAGCCTGGGTAACAAGAGTGAAACTCTGTCTCAAAAAAAAAAAAAAAAAAAAAAAAAAAAACACGAAACAAACAAACAAAAATTCTGAGCATTTTAATTTTTTTTTTTTTTTTGAGAAGGAGTTTCGCTCTTGTTACCCAGGCTGGAGTGCAATGGCGCGATCTCGGCTCACCGCAACCTCCGCCTCCTGGGTTCAGGCAATTCTCCTGCCTCAGCCTCCCGAGTAGCTGGGATTACAGGCACGTGCCACCACATGCCCAGCTAATTTTTTTTTTTTTTTTGTATTTTTAGTAGAGATGGAGTTTCGCCATGTTGACCAGGATGGTCTCGAACTCTTGACCTCGTGATCCACCCGCCTTGGCCTCCCAAAGTGCTGGGATTACAGGCTTGAACCACCGTGCCTGGCCCTTTAATTTTTAATAAAATATAAAAGTTCTAAAGAAAACATGATTATAGTTTTACTCTAAAATATGTAATCAATTTCTACATGTGAGGTTTTCAAGGGAGTAATGGGCATTTTAAAAGATAAAAAGGCCAGGCACCGTGGCTCACACCTGTAATCGCACCGTGGCTTCACACCTGTAATCCCAGGACTTTGGGAGGCTGAGGCGAGCAAATCACTTGGGCTCAGGAGTTTGAGACCAGCCTGAGCAACCTGGCGAAACTCAGTTTCTGCCAAGAATACAAAAAACTAGTCCAGCACAGTGGTGTGTGCCTGTCATCCCCAGTACTCCAGAGGCTGAGGTGGAAGGATCACTTCAGCCCAGGAGTTTGAAGCTGCAGTAAGATGCCATTGCATCACTGCACTCCAGCCTGGGCAATAGAGTGAGACCCTATCTCAAAAAAAAAAAAAAAAAAAAAAAAAAAAAAAAAAAGATAAAACAATTAGTTTTTATTTTTATAAACCTGGGTGAATTTAACTATCAAAGTTCCAACGGTAAAATAAAAGAAAAAGGAATGCTTAAAAACTACTTTTGGGCTGTGTGCGGTGGCTCATGCCTGTAATCCCAGCACTCTGGAAGGCCAAATTGGGTGGATCACCTGAGGTAAGGAGTTTGAGACGAGACTGGCCAACATGGTAAACGCTGTCTCTACTAAAAATAGAAAAATTTGCCCAGTGAAGTGGTGTGCGCCTGTAATCCCAGCTATCCAGGAGGCTGAGGCAGGAGTATTACTGGAATCCGGGAGGCAGAGGCTGCAGTGAGCCGAGATCGAGCCACTGTACTCCAGCCTGGGTGACAGAGCGAGACTCCATCTCAAAAACAAAAACCAACCAACCAAACAAACAAACAAAAAACTATTTTGGGGCCAGGCACCGTGGCTCATATCTGTAATCCCAGTACTTTGGGAGGTCAAGGCAGGCAGATCAGCTGAGGTCAAGAGTCAAGACCAGCCTGGCCAACATGGCAAAATCCCATCTCTACTAAAAATACAAAAATTACAGGCAGGTGCAGTGGCTCATGCCTGTAATTCCAGCACTTTGGGAGGCTGAGGCAGGTGGATCACCTGAGGTCAGGAGTTTGAGACCAGACCAGCCAACATGGTGAAACCCTGTTACTACCAAAACTACAAAAATTATCCAGGCATGGTGGTGCATACCTGTAATCTCAGCACTTTGGGAGGTCAAGGTGAGCAGATCAACTGAGGTCAGGAGTTCAAAACCAGCCTGGCCAACATGGCAAAACCCTGTCTCTACTAAAAATACAAAAATTAGCTGGGCATGGTGGCAGGTGCCTGTTATCCCAGCTACTTTGAAGGCTGAGGCAGGAGAATCACTTGAACCTGGGAGGCAGAGGTTGCAGTGAGCCGAGATTTTGCCACTGCACTCCAGCTTGGGCAACAGAGAAAGACTCTGTCTCAAAAAAAAGAAAAGAAAAGGAAAGAAAAAGATGTCCACTATTTTAAACTACCTTTTGAAAAGTTGAAATACGGTAGTTAACAGAAAATGAATGTAGTATCTTGTACCATGTCAAACAAATCTTTACAGTCCCAATTTCAGTCTTAAAAAAAAATCCAATATACTTAAAGGGTCACTTACAATTTATGGATTCTTTGAAATAACTGTCAATTTCATCATCCAGAGCATTTGTTTCTTTATTTTCTCTTATAAAATTCAGCAGAATGTTAGCTTCTGGTGTATCTTAAATTGAAAATGCATAATAAGTAAAAAGCAAACTGATTATCTTATTTATTTATTTATCTTTATTTTATTTTATTTATTTATTTATTTATTTATTTTTTGAGACGGAGTTTTGCTCTTGTTGCCCAGGCTGGAGTGCAATGGCACGATCTCGGCTCACCGCAACCTCCGCCTCCTGGGTTCAGGCAATTCTCCTGCCTCAGCCTCCTGAGTAGCTGGGATTACAGGCACACGCCACCATGCCCAGCTAATTTTTAGTATTTTTAGTAGAGACGGGGTTTCACCATGTTGACCAGGATGGTCTCGATCTCTTGACCTCGTGATCCACCCGCCTCGGCCTCCCAAAGTGCTGGGATTACAGGCTTGAGCCACCGCGCCCGGCCTATTTTTTTTTTTTTTTTTTTGAGACGGAGTTTCGCTCTTGTTACCCAGACTGGAGTGCAATGGCACGATCTTGGCTCATCGCAACCTCCGCCTCCTGGGTTCAGGCAATTCTCCTGCCTCAGCCTCCTGAGTAGCTGGTATTACAGGCATGTGCCACCATGCCCAGCTAATTTTTTGTATTTCTTTGTAGAGATGGGGTTTCACCATGTTGACCAGGATGGTCTCGATCTCTTGACCTCGTGATCCACCCGCCTCGGCCTTCCAAAGTGCTGGGATTACAGGCATGAGCCACCGTGCCCGGCCTTATTTATTTAATTTATTTATTTATTTATTTATTTTTGAGACGGAGTTTCGCTCTTGTTACCCAGGCTGGAGTGCAATGGCGCGATCTCGGCTCACCGCAACCTCTGCCTCCTGGGTTCAGGCAATTCTCCTGCCTCAGCCTCCTGAGTAGCTGGGATTACAGGCACGCACCACCATGCCCAGCTAATTTTTGGCACCTTTAGTAGAGACGGGGTTTCACCATGTTGACCAGGATGGTCTCGATCTCTCGACCTCGTGATCCACCCGCCTCGGCCTCCCAAAGTGCTGGGATTACATACAGGCTTGAGCCACCGCACCTGGCCTATTTATTTATTTTTAAGACGAGGTTTCACCATGTTGGTCAAGCTGGTCTTGAATTTCTGACTTCAGGTGATCCACCCACCTTGGCCTCCAAAGTGCTTGGATTACCAACAATATAATGTAGAATTCTGTTAACATGGAGAGGATGTACACCACATTACATCAACCACATAGGTTAGTGAAAGAGCAGCTTACTAACCTATGTGGTTGAATACCCTTTTAATTTAAAAAAATCTACAATATAAATACAAAATTATCTGGAAGAATATATATAAAAAATAATTATTGGCCGTGTGTGGTGGCTCATGCCTGTAATCCAAGCACTTTGGAGGCCAAGGCGGGTGGATCACCTGAGGTTGTGAGTTCAAGACCAGCCTGACCAACATGGTGAAACCCCGTCTTTATAAAAAAAAAAAAAAAAAAAGAAGAAAGAAAAGTAAGGTAAAAAATGATTCTTTCTGGACAGTGGGATTGTAGCTGATCTTTGTTTTCCTCGTTTATGTTTTTATATATTTTTTCTGAATTTTATATGTATTTCTTTACTCATCAGAAAAAAATATTTCAAAAGGCAATTGAAATACATAAAATAGGGCCGGGCGCGGTGGCTCAAGCCTGTAATCCCAGCACTTTGGGAGGCCGAGGCGGGTGGATCATGAGGTCAAGAGATCAAGACCATCCTAGTCAACATGGTGAAACCCCGTCTCTACTAAAAGTGCAAAAAATTAGCTGGGCATGGTGGCACGTGCCTGTAATCCCAGCTACTCAGGAGGCTGAGGCAGGAGAATTGCCTGAGCCCAGGAGGCAGAGGTTGCGGTGAGCCGAGATCGCGCCATTGCACTCCAGCCTGGGTAACAAGAGCGAAACTCCGTCTCAAAAAAAAAAAAAAAAGAAATATATAAAATAGGCTATACGAACACCCTTACTCCTCACGTTGGGATATGAGTGTGCTCAAGAGTTGGAGGTGCTGTTCCAGAAAGCAGGAATGTGAGTTTGGAAAGAACTCAGGCATGATGTCCTTGGACCCCAGGCCCCCAGCCTCTGGCATGTGAATGTTAAGTACCCCAGACCCTGAATGTTAAGGCCCTTGAATATTCTACGACAATGTCTGTACTTTCCTATTTCCCCCAGGAAAATCGAGCATTTCTTCCTCCTTGCTTTCGGAATACAAGTCTCATTATACCTGTTTTTTCTCAAAACTAGGTTGCCAAATTGTCACCGGCAGGCAGTATCCCACATGATGACTACCCTTACATCCTTCTGACCAGCACTCAACTCCTTCCTTGTTCCAGAAATTTACATTGTTTCAATACTTGGCAAGTAAAAGGCATTATAAAATATTTTAAAATTCATGTGTGAATGAATGAATGTAGAACTCTGTTAACATGGAGAGATATGCACCACGAATTATTGCACTTCATATTGGAGCACTTGCTGGGGCAAAGCCAGAGACGCAACCAACCAGCTTCCCGTGATGGGGGCTGGCAGGGATTGGTGAGTACCAGCACGGCAGGTCCTCACTGACAACAGGGTTATCCTGACTGTCGGGAAAGGCAGGAATTGTGCCCTCCCTATCTGAGAAGTACTCTTAGGGCAGAGAAAGAAACAAGGGAATCTTGACATCCTAGGATAAACACAAGCCATTTAGAGCTTCTTAATTTCTATAAGGCAGGTGTAACCCAGGAAATTAAAAGTAAAGCTAATATAACCATTTACAATAGCAAAGGCATGGAACCCAAATGCCCCTCAATGGTAGACTGGATAAAGAAAATGTGGTACACATATACACCATGGAATACAATGCAGATATAAAAAGGAATAAGATCATGTCCTTTGCAAGGACATGGATGAAGCTAGAAGCCATCATCCTTAGCAAACCAACACAGGAAAAGAAAACCAAACACCGCATGTTCTCACTCTTAAGTGGGAGCCAAACAATGAAATAACATGGACACAGGGAAGGAAACAACACATGCTGGGTCTTGTTGTGGGGTGGGGGCAAGGGGAGGGAAAGCACCAGGACAAATAGCTAATGCATGTGGGGCTTGAAACCTAGATGATGGATTGACAGGTGCAGCAAACCACCATGGCACATGTGTACCTATGTAACAAACCTGCATGTTCTGCACAAGTATCCTGGAACTTAAAGCAAAATTTTAAAAAAAAAGTGTAAAGCTGATATAAACTAGCACACAAATTCACCCATCGTTAACGAGAATTTTCCTTTAAATTTGTTTTCTTGATAGACTAAATCGAAGAGATCTAGATCTGCTTTCCAACATGGTGGCTATGAATAATAACAACAAATTATATTCTCGAAAAGTACTCAGAGAACAGATTTTAAGTGTTCTCACCACAAAAAAAATTATGAGAAGTAGTGCATATGTTAATTAGCTTGATTTAGCCATTCTTCAATGTATACATATTTCAAAATTTACTGTATAAAATAAATGGATTCCATTTTTTGTCAAAAAATTAATAAATTTTAAAAATGTGTCTCCTGGCTGGGCATGGTGGCTCATGCCCGTAATCCCAGCACTTTGAGAGGCTGAGGCGGGTGGATCATGAGGTCAGGAAGCCGAGACCATCCCCGCCAACATGGTAAAACAAAAAATTAGCCAGGCATGGTGGTGTGTGCCTGTAGTCCCAGCTACATGGGAGGCTGAAGCAGGGAAATCACTTGAACCTGGGAGGCAGAGATTGCAGTGAGCCAAGATCATGCCAACTGCACTCCAGGCTGGGTGATAGAGCAAGACTCCATTAAAAAAAAAAAAAAAAAAAAAAAAAAAAAGGCCGGGCGCGGTGGCTCAAGCCTGTAATCCTAGCACTTTGGGAGGCCGAGGCGGGTGGATCACGAAGTCAAGAGATCGAGACCATCCTGGTCAACATGGTGAAACCCCATCTCTACTAAAAATACAAAAAATCAGCTGGGCATGGTGGCACATGCCTGTAGTCCCAGCTACGCAGGAGGCTGAGGCAGGAGAATTGTCTGAACCCAGGAGGCAGAGGTTGCGGTGAGCCGAGATCGCGCCATTGCACTCCAGCCTGGGTAAGAAGAGTGAAACTCCGTCTCAAAAAAAAAAAAAAAAAAAAAAAAAAAAGTGTCTCTTTGAGAAAGAAGGCATCTTTTCTAATAATGTTGATTGTTACTCAAAATACATTGACATTTTTTCTTTGAATGTCATCAGAGCCAAATGCACAACATCCTAAAATACGACTCATTAATTAGATCTTGAATTTTCTATACCATAGTACTGTCAAGCTTAATCATCTTTTCCATCAGACAAATCCACCTATCTTTTAGAAACTTTTCCAGCTCACATTTATCCTTAGAAGGTAAAGATTTTACTATCACTGGTGTTACTAAATGTAAGAATAATAGGCCGGGCTGGGCACAGAGGCTCATGCCTGTAATCCCAGCACTTTGGGAGATCAAGGCAGGTGGATCACGAGGTCAGGAGGTCGAGACCATCTAGGTTAACAGGGTGAAACCCCATCTCTACTAAAAATACAAAAAATTAGCCGGATGTGGTAGGATGTGCCCGTAGTCCCAGCTACTCAGGAGGCTGAGGCTGGAGAATCGCAAGGCTGCAGTGAGCCGAGATTGGGCCATGGCACCCCAGCCCGGGCAATAGAGCGAGACTTCATCTAAAAAAAAAAGAATGATAGGCCAGGTGTAGTGGCTGTCACCTGTAAACCCAGAACTTTGGGAGGCCAAGGCAGGAGGATTATTTGAGCCCAGGAGTTCAAGACCAGCCTGGCCAATATGGTGAAACCCTGTCTCTACTAAAAACATAAAAATAAGCTGGGCATGGTGGTGGGCACCTGTAGTCCCAGCTGGGAGGCTAAAGCAGGAGAATTGCTTGAACCCAGGAGGTGGAAGTTGCAGTGAGCCAAGATTGTGGCATTGCGCTCCAGCCTGGGGGACAGAGCAAGACTCTGTCTCAAAAATAATAATAAACTATTTTTATTAATAAATTATGTCTAATAATAAACCATAGTACTTCCCTCCAAGAAAGAAAAAAATTGTAGAGTGCTGCCCTCCTAAGTGTTAATAACAGACTATCGTGTGTCACCATCAATTTCCAACAAAGCAGTCAGAGTGATCCTCTCAGAACTGAGTCAGATGCTGTCACTGCTCTGCTACAAACCCAACCTGCTATACCATCCAGGGTGGAAGCCAGCACACTCTAACAGCCTGTGAGGCCTTCTTCATGGGTGCCTCCATCTCTTTTCAGAATGCTCCTGCCCCTCTCCCCCAAGCGCCATCTGCTCCAGCAACACCAGCCCCTGGCTGTTCCTCCCACACGTAGGCACAGGGCTTTCCATTGGTTAACTCTTTAGCCTCCTCATCAAGTCTTTGCTCAAATGTCACCCTCTCATGCAGCGCGCCTGAACCACCTTGTGGAATATCACACATACTGCAGCTCTCTAGGTCCTCCTGATTCTATTCCACCTGTTCTCCTTAAATATTTCATAATTCGGCCAGGCACGTTGGCTCACACCTGTAATCCTAGTACTTTGGGAGGCCGAGGTGGGTGGATCACCTGAGGTCGGGAGTTTGAGACCAGCCTGATCAACATGGAGAAACCCTGTCTCTACTAAAAATGCAAAATTAGCCAGGCATGGTGACACATGCCTGTAATCCCAGCTACTCGGGAGGCTGAGGCAGGAGAATCACTTGAACTTGGGAGGCAAAAGTTGCAGTGAGCTGAGATCACGCCATTGCACTCTAGCCTGGGCAACAAGAACAAAATTCCATCTCAAAAAAAAAAAATCATAATTCATGAACATATTATCTTCATTATTTATTCTCCATCTCTCCCTGCTGGAGTGTAAGCTTCATGAGGGTGGAAATATTTGTCCATTTTGTTGATGGACCCCAGAACAGCAACCAGCACACAGCAGGTGCTCAGTAACTGAGTTCTGTGAAGAACAATTCAGGGCATGCACATCACCTACCATGGTGCTGTCTTCAAGGAGACAACATCCATGGGATGGGTGTGCAACATTCAGAGTATTTATATAAAAACCAGAGTCTTGGCCGGGCACGGTGGCTCAAGCCTGTAATCCCAGCACTTTGGGAAGCCGAGGCGGGTGGATCATGAGGTCAAGAGATCGAGACCATCCTGGTCAACATGGTGAAACCCCGTCTCTACTAAAAATACAAAAATTAGCTGGGCATGGTGGCGCGTGCCTGGAGTCCCAGCTACTCAGGAGGCTGAGGCAGGAGAATTGCCTGAACCCAGGAGGTGGAGGTTGCGGTGAGCCGAGATCGCGCCATTGCACTCCAACCTGGGTAACAAGAGCGAAACTCCGTCTCAAAAGAAAAAAAAAAAAGAAAAAAACCAGAGTCTTGTTATTTTACACCATTCCTCACAGTAATTCTCTTTTAAAAATACTAAAAATACTGTCAAAAGCATACATTGGTCACAAGCATACATTGCTTTATTTATAATTCTGTCACTGCTGATGCTTTGTCACAGACCAGCAGAGTGACCGTATGCTTTAAATGATACCCTACATACTATACGCACAGCTTCTTGAGGTGGAAAAGGATTACTCCATTTCTTTGCCAGTACTGGGTTGACAGTTACATCTGCACTCTAAAGCACCCTGGGAATGCTCACAGGCACTAACCCCTCATCTCCTGGATCTGGCTCCCTTGACTTCAAGCTTTAGTAAACTATAACTTCTTTAACAACCACTTCAGGGTATCATCTGGGCATTTAATGTGCAGTTGAGTTAATGATACTACACAGAATACTGTGTTTGTGTGTGTATGTTATGTCCTAGCAGTAAAAGTTATTTGAATGTAGCAAAACTGAATTTACTTTTTAAATAGTCAATAATTTAGGTCATCTAAGCAATAAGACTGATCCCTCAAAAATTATCACAATGGATTATACTTTAAAAAATTAATCTGGGGCCGGGCGCAGTGGCTCAAGCCTGTAATCCCAGCACTTTGGGAGGCCGAGGCGGGTGGATCACGAGGTCGAAAGATCGAGACCATCCTGGTCAACATGGTGAAACCCCGTCTCTACTAAAAATACAATAAAACTAGCTGGGCATGGTGGCGCGTGCCTGTAATCCCGGATACTTAGGAGGCTGAGGCAGGAGAATTGCCTGAGACCAGGAGGCGGAGGTTGCGGTGAGCCGAGATCGTGCCATTGCACTCCAGCCTGGGTAACAAGAGCGAAACTCCGTCTCAAAAAAAAAAAAAAAAAAAAAAAAGAATCTGGTTTTTCACATCTCTCTCTTTTTTTTTTTTTTTTTTTTTTTTTTTTTTTTTTTTTTTTTTTTTTTTTTGAGACGGAGTTTCGCTCTTGTTACCCAGGCTGGAGTGCAATGGCACGATCTCGGCTCACCGCAACCTCCGCCTCCTGGGTTCAAGCAATTCTCCTGCCTCAGCCTCCCGAGTAGCTGGGATTACAGGTGCCTGCCACCATGCCCAGCTAATTTTTGTATTTTTGTAGAGATGGACTTTCACCATGTTGGCCAGGATGGTCTCTATCTCCTGACCTCATGATCTGCCCGCCTCAGCCTCCCAAAGTGCTGGGATTATGAGTGTGAGCCACCAGGCCTGGCCTGGCCTCACATTTCTTTAGTAAGGATGTCAAAAGTTCATTGTAAGTTTTTAAAAAAGTTATATAAAGCAAAATTTGCACTTCTAATATGAATTAAATCCAGGCTGAATTTTCAGTCTTAAATATACTGTATAAATATTGAAATGTGTCCAGTCATTTCCAAAGGGATAAAAAGGTTTCAGAAAGCTTTTTACCTGGATTAGTTGTAATAATGGTTTTTGAGATTACAGTTGCTGTCATGCAGTTTCGAAATTTGTCAAAACTTATTCTTACATCCGAGGCAAATATTACTGTTTGGGGGAAAAGTCATTTAAAATTATTACACAGGAGGTTATAAAATGACAAATATTGAACACAATCACTGGATAATAATACCTGTTTCTCGTGGCATCCAGCACTGGGCAAGCAGAATGGATTCATTATCCCAACTGCATTTGTTTAAAAAGAAGTAATACAAATTGAATACACTAGAAAAAACTAAGAGTGACACATTATTTACAACAACAACAACAAAAAAGCTTCATTGGCTGGGGTCAGCCATTCCCAAGGTGGTCAAATACCTCTTGGTCTTAAGGATGCCAGTTTTCACTTGTCTCTCCCATGGAGAATTTAACATCTCCATGAGAGATCATTCCTTTAACACACACTCTTCTCTAGTAATAATACTCTGCTTTGCCAATTTATTTTCCCAACACTTAATCACTCCAGCCTACTAAGAACTAAAGCCTAAAGACTTTAAAGTCATACTTTTAGACCATGAAGGTAAGGGCCCACTAGCTCAGGGGTCTTGATGGGTTGAAGGCGCTTTTCAGATCATTTCCTTAGGTATACAGGCATCAGGGGTCTAGACAATGTCTTGTTGTACCTGGCAGTGCTTCAGGGTGCAGCAGCCCCCACCCTGCCCCACATTCCCTGTGCCCTGCCCTGCTCCAGTATACTTCCCAGGAAGCATGGAGGGAAAGTATTGCTTGTTCCATGGGACCTAATAAAACACAATTCATTATAAAACAGAATTCAATAATAAAACTGGTTAAGGTAGAGTCCTAAGCAATTCCATGCCATCTAAAGACCTCATTTTAAGGTGGTGTCCATGGCAACTCAGCATTCAAGAATAAGGTTGATTTTTTAAAGTATCATTCACCTCCTATCATTACCCTCCGGATATGAAATCCATCACCTTTTTGATAAAATGAAAATGTCCCGGTGGTAACAATAGGAATTTCAGTTTGGAAGAGATGTGGGTGGTTACCATGTCATGGCAAAAGAAGATTCTGTTTCATCATAGAGTCTAACTTCACACCTCTGGCCTTTTCTCCGGTCTGAAGTTGTAAAGTATTTTGGCTCTCCAACCTTAGAAATGAAAAGAAACAATTACCCTTCACCTATATGTAGAAGTACTTAAATATATGTTGATGAAAATACTCAAACGTTCACCTTTTTAACACCAAATAAGAAATACAAAAATACCAAGAACCAGTAATAGTGATGATTTTAAAGCCTCTTCTATCTCTAAACCATGTGTCCACAGCTGAAGTGAGTCACATAACACTTTGAAGAGAGACAGAAAGACAGGTGTTTAAAGTAGATACTGAAAGTCTTTTCAACGTGTCACAACAAGGCTCCATGACAGGTCCCCCCTGGGGTATCTATATGGAGTCCTCCGGGGCAGGGAGGGTTTCCAGCACCTGCATGTTCCCACAGCTCAGCGTGGAGCCCAGAATGGAGTTCATATGACTGAACAGACTCATTCCCTCTGGAGCTCAGCATCCCCATCTTTTGTGTGTGTGTGTGTGTGTGTGTGTGTGTGTGTGTGTGTGTGTGTGTTACAGAGTTTTGCTCTTGTTGCCCAGGCTGAAGTGCAACAATGCAACTCTGGCTTACTGCAACCTCTACCTCCCAGGTTCAAGCAATTCTCCTGTCTCAGCCTCCTGAGTAGCTGGGATTACAGGCGCCCACCACTACGCCTGGCTAATTTTTGGTAGTTTTAGTAGAGATGGGGTTTCACCATGTTGGCCAGCCTGGTCTCGAACTCCTGACCTCAAGTGATCTGCCCACCTCGGCCTCTCAAAGTGCTGGGATTACAGGTGTGAGCCGGTGTGCCTGGCAGCATCTCGATCTTCTTAGTGAACATAAAACACAACATAGAGTGGTAAAAGAAATATCCACAGGAAACAAACTAATTTAGGATACATCCTTGCCTTCTTCCCAGAGCTACCATGGTGAGAGCCACATGCAGGATATGCAGGAAACTCTGACACTGTCCTGTCCATTGTGGAGTGAGAGAATCAAAGAAGTAGAGATGTTCTTGCTCATTAAAGCAAGCGAAAAGAAAAAAAAGGTGGAGTTGAACCTAGGACCCTTCTCTCCACCCATTGGTTTCTCATGTGGGAACAACAGGTGCCTCTGACAGATGCACAGCAGCAGGCCCAGTATCGATAGTCACTGGCCAACCCCCAACACTGCCACCACTGCATCTGTGCTGCTAAGAGAAAGGGACCTGGATAGGACAGCCAGAGGCTCAGAGGTCAGCCTAACATCTGGGGTTGGGAGGTGAAGAACACTTCATTAAAAGGAGTTATTTTTACTTTTATTTATTTATTTATTTATTTATTTTTGAGACGTAGTTTCGCTCTTGTTACCCAGGCTGGAGTGCAATGGCGCGATCTCTGCTCACTGCAACCTCTGTCTCCTGGGTTCAGGCAATTCTCCTGCCTCAGCCTCCTGAGTAGCTGGGATTACAGGCACGTGCCACCATGCCCAGCTAGTTTTTTGTATTTTTAGTAGAGACGGGGTTTCACCATGTTGACTAGGATGGTCTCAATCTCTCGACCTCGTGATCCACCCGCTTCGGCCTCCCAAAGTGCTGGGATTACAGGCTTGAGCCACCGCGCCCGGCCTAAAAGGAGTTTTAAAGTGAAAAGACAGTGGAGGTGAGAAGAGACCACAGGTCAATAAAAGTGTGAAGAAAAGGAAATGTAAGAAGGCTGAAAGCCAAAAGGGAGACAAAAGGCATACGAAATGATGTGACACATGAAAGCTGCCAGAGTTTCCTGCCTATATCACTATATTCATTCAGGGTTGAAGACAATTCTTACTACTTTTTTTTTTTTTTTTTTTTTTTTTTTTTTTTGAGACGGAGTTTTGCTCTTGTTGCCCAGGATGGAGTGCAATGGTGTGATCTCGGCTCACTGCAATCTCCGCCTCCAGGATTCAAGCAATTCTCCTGCCTCAGCCTCCTGAGTAGCTAGGATTACAGGCATGTGCCACCATGCCTGGCTAATTTTGTATTTTTAGTAGAGATGGGGTTTCACCATGTTGGCCAGGCTGGTCTCCTCAAGTGATCCACCCGCCTCAGCCTCCCGAAGTGCTGGGATTACAGACATGATCCACCAAACCTGGCTCTTACTACATGATAAACGTAATGAGCATTATCTAGAACTTGAGGAAACTGCAAACAATTGAGCACTCATGTGAACAACTGAATAGGACTGAACCTAAACTGCCTAGAAAGTGACTTCTCCTATTTTTCAAGATGATCATGTAGCGTGCTTATTCCTCCTCTGTTAAGTATATAGCATTGTCCCCATGTGGCAGGCATGGCCTCCATAGCCAGGGGCCTGACATCTGAGAGAGTCTCATTCTCTCAGTAATCATTTAATATGACAACCAATTCATGTTTACTTACAACATTAACTATCATAAATGTGTGTTTCCCTCCATCCACCTTTTTTTCTTTGGTCTCTTGACTATCATCCATCTCTATATTAAGAAATTACTCTTAGGCCGGGCACGCTGGCTCAAGCCTGTAATCCCAGCACTTTGGGAGGCCGAGGCGGGTGGATCACGAGGTCAAGAGATCGAGACCATCCTGGTCAACATGGTGAAACTCCATCTCTACTAAAAATACAAAAAAGTAGCTGGGCATGGTGGCACATGCCTGTAATCCGAGCTACTCAGGAGGCAGAGGCAGGAGAATTGCCTGAACCCAGGAGGCGGAGGTTGCAGTGAGCTGAGATTGCGCCATTGCACTCCAGCCTGGGTAACAAGAGCGAAACTCCATCTCAAAAAAAAAAAAGAAATTACTCTTGCGTATTTATTTATTGAGATAGAGTCTTGCTCTGTCATCCAGGCTGGAGTGCAGTGGCGCCATCTCAGCTCATTGCAACCTCTGCTTTCCACGTTCGAGTGATTCTCCAGCCTCAGCCCCCGCCGAGTAGCTGGGACTACAGGCACCTGCAACCATGCCCAGCTAATTTTTTGTATTTTTAGTAGAGGCAGGGTTTCACCACATTGGCCAGGCTGGTCTCAAACTCCTGCCCTCAGGTGATCCTCCCGCCTTGGCCTCCCAAAATGCTGTGATTATAGGCATGAGCTACTGGCCCCAGCCTTCTTGCCCCTTTATTTTATTTTATATATTTATTTTTAGACAGGTCTCCCTCTGCTGCCCAGGCTAGAGTACAGTGTCATGATTGTGGCTCACTGCAACCTCAGCCTCCCTGGCTCAGGTGATCCTCCCTCTTCAGCCTCCCAAGCAGCTGGGGCTACAGGTATACGCAACCACACCTGGCTAAGTTTTGTATTTTTGATAGAGATGGAGTTTCGCAATGTTGCCCAGGCTGGTCTTGAACTCCTGGGCTTAAGTGATCCATCTGCCTCGATCTCCCAAAGTGCTGGGATTATAGATGTAAGCCACCGTGCCTGGACTACTTTTCATGTACTTTATTTTGTGAAACTTAATTGTTGAGGTCTACATCTAAAGCTCTGTCCAGTGGCTCTGGTCCGTCAAACTACAGAGCTCAGAACTTGCTGTAATAATTGAGATAGACACTGATGCACCAGAAGGGAACACCACCCTCTGTGTGCCCCATGGAGTGCCATCCTCCCCTGTACCTCACCAGCCTGGTCCCACTCCACCTATTAGACCACAGAGCCCCTACAGCAGGGCAGCGCATATTCACACTCCCTCTCTGGTTTCTGGGCAGCTCTAAGCACAAAGGCAGAGAACTGATCCCTTAACTTATATTCAGCTATGCCCCTTCAAGGAAGATCATGGAGAATTTCAAGTCAATAAGCTTACATTTTCCATTTACATCTTTGTTTAAGCGAAGTATAAAAAGCTCTTGTATAGTTAGCAGATCATTTATGAGCAGAATGGGCATTCAAATACAATTTTATTTCACTACTCATCCACAGATAAAATTTCCCTTAATGAGAAGGGTTACTGTTTTCTTAATTCGACATACTACCAAGATATAGAAGAAAAACTACCCCAGCCGATTATGACCACTCCATCCCACACACAAATCAAGTAATAGCAACTCTTCTGTCAAACTGCAGTTGGCTTTCTTGGGATTTCCACTTACCGACTTCACAGCTGCAAGCACGTTAATAATCCTCCCATTAAGACTGTGTCCATTTGCAACAATGTCACCCAATGAATAATAATCACGAGACTCTTTAACAGGTAAATGTATCAAAGAAAGTAACTTTGTGTCCACTTCATAACTGGAACAAACTTTTACTGTTGAGTGATTCTCACTGAGAAATAGTTTACAGTTGCTAAATTGCAAAAACACAAGAAAGTTATATGAAAGTGATTTTTGGATAGAAAAAATTTTCCAGGTTCACATTTAAATTACACTTTTTGGTTGAAATTTAGACAATATTAAGAAATGTATACTTTCTACTCTTAGAAACATTGAATAATATGGCAAAATATTTTTTGTTTACAATGCACTTTCATCAAGGAAATGTTTTGAGGATCGACACATGTCAGAGTTCTAAGCATACCACTTATTTGATCATGCCCAAGATTCCACGTTTGTTTCCTTCTCCAAAAAAATCAGAGTATAAAGCACTCCAAAACTTTGAGGGGTTATACAAACCCGAGGACTAGTGTTTCTCTTGTGGCCCTGGCTGCTCTGCCTAAGTGCCTCAGGTCAGGGACTGTGTTTCCTAGCCTTGCTGCATTCTGCATGGAGCAGATGGGGACACTGGCACAGTGAGCCTGAACTGAGGAGCTCTGCCTCCTGCACCCAATCCCTCCCAGCCCTCAGCTTCCACGCCCCAGCAGCCCTCTAACACCGGGTCCTCCCTGCTCTGCCTCACTTACCTACCTCCTCATTTCTCTCCCATGCCACTGCCTTGCTCTCCTAACTAAGCTTCACTCCCCACAGTCCATCCTCCACAAGCAAAGTGATCTTCCTAAATCACAAATATGAAAATATTACTTCCCGGCTCAAAGACTGTTCTGTGGCTACCAGCCACAGAGCAAATAACTCGGTATGAAAGCAAAGCTGCCTGTGAAGTATCTCTGCTTCTGCCTTAAGCTTCTCCCCCTGTCCATGCCCTGCATTCAGCCATTATCAGACTACTACATTATGAAACTGGTATTTCTAGATGAAAAACAGTAAAACATCAGCAGTTTCAAATGGCTCAACCTAACATTAACTGTTCTGGAAAAGACAGGAGGTTTCCTTTTTCTTCCCTCTACCAGGAATGTTCTTCTCTCCATCTATCCATCCATCCATCCATGCCATGAATACTGAGAATCTGTTATATGCCAGACCCTATGCTAGGCACAAGGGATCTGGTGGTGAAGAAGGCAGACAAGACCTTCGATCTCATGAGGCTCACATATCTAAGGGGGAGACCCAAGAACAATGAATCAATTTCAGACGGTGACTTGGGTTAGGTGACAACAGCCAGGGCAAAGTCCCAATAGTTGACCATTAGTGCTACCACAAACAGAGCAGATGGGGAAGGTTGAAGAAGGTGACATTTAAGCTGAGAGTCATTAACCCAGGCGTCCCCAAACTACAGCCCGCGGGCCGCGTGCAGCCCCCTGAGGCTATTTATCTGGCCCTCCGCCGCACTTCAGGAAGGGGCATCTCTTTCATTGGTGGTCAGTGAGAGGAGCACAGTATGTGGCGGCCCTCCAACGGTCTGAGGGACAGTGAACTGGCCCCCTGTGTAAAAAGTTTGGGGACGCCTGCATTAACCCAAAGAAGCAAATATTCAAACAGATTGGAGAAGAATGTTCTATGCAGAGAGGGACTAGAAAATACAAAAGTTCTTAGTGCAGAATGAGTTCAGGATGTTCATGAAATGTAAAGAAATTCACTGTGGCTGCAGAGAAATGAGGCCTGAGAGTCTGGTGTAAGATGAGGTTAGAAAAGGGAAGGGGTTAAGCTGGGCGCAGTGGCTCAAGCCTGTAATCCCAGCACTTTGGGAGGCTGAGGCGGGTGGATCACGAGGTCGAGAGATCGAGACCATCCTGGTCAACATGGTGAAACCCTGTCTCTACTAAAGATACAAAAACTTAGCTGGGCATGGTGGCACGTGCCTGTAATCCCAGCTACTCAGGAGGCTGAGGCAGGAGAATTGCCTGAGCCCAGGAGGCAGAGGTTGCGGTGAGCCGAGATTGCGCCATTGCACTCCAGCCTGGGTAACAGGAGCGAAACTCCGTCTTAAAAAAAAAAAAAAAAAAAAAAAAAAAAAAAAAAAAAAAAAAGAAAAGGGAAGGGGTCACACATGATGCAAGGGTAAATGCAGTAGACTGCTCTGCCTGCCAACAGCCCTAACAGGCTGGTACAGGAGCACAGCTACATCCTCCTCTCCAGAACTGCTAAGCCTGCTGTCGAGCTTATCCCCATACCACCCTGAGGGTTTGGAGAGTGGATGGACTATAGCCAGGGCACTGTTCTAAGGGGCCACTCATACTCCAGAGCTCTGTCCTGGGCTCCTGCTGAGGCTCCAGGTGAACCCACTTCTCTGCTCAGCTTCTTCTCCACCTCTCCTTTCAGGGTTCCCCTGAGAGGTCTCCCTCAATGAAATAATCACATAAGAGTCCTCCTCTCAAGCTCTGCTTCCAGGGAACCTGACCTAAGATGCTAAAGTTGTGAGTGGAAGGATACCTTGATATGAAAAAGGAAATACGCAATTTCCAAAGTTTATCTTTTCTTCTCATTCTGTTTTAACATAACAGAGTCAAATTTTTGTAGATCTAAGAATATCAATCAAAGTACTGAAAGCAAAGCCATTTTTTATGTGACTATATCAAAGTAAATTATATCATAATCAAAGATAAGTTTTGTAAGAGAAAATTAAACTCACTTTTACTGAAATAGAAATAGAACACTTCTAGTAAGATCTCTGCTAATCTGATACAAAATTATTAGTAATGATCATTCTGGCACAATCTCTGTGCTAGACAGATACTTACCTAGGAGTTGCAGGGCTGAACTTTTCCTCTCTTTCTATATCCTTTCTTTGGATCAGAGGATTTTCAATTATCACTAAAACAGAGAACAAAGTATGATGACATCGCAAAGTAACAAGATAAACACATGAAAATCCTGTTTAATTTATAATCATGATTAACTTTAGACTTTAAAAATTTCACACCTCAGCCGGGCGCGGTGGCTCACGCCTGTAATCCCAGCACTTTGGGAGGCCGAGGTGGGTGGGTCACGAGGTCAAGAGATTGAGACCATCCTGGTCAACATGGTGAAACCTCGTCTCTACTAAAAACACAAAACATTAGCTAGGCATGGTGGTGCGTGCCTGTAATCCCAGCTACTCAGGAGGCTGAGGCAGGAGAATTGCCTGAACCCAGGAGGCAGTGGTTGCGGTGAGCCCAAATCACACCATTGCACTCCAGCCTGGGTAACAAGAGCGAAACTCCGTCTCAAAAAAAAAAGAAAAGAAAAATTTCACACCTCATTTATCTTTCCACCATCAACATATAACATATTTTGATACTGAAATGTCAAAATTGAAATCTTTATCTCCATATATAATTAATATATTTATATATAATAATTTATTCAACAGATATCTATAGCTATACTGGCCCCTATGAAGTTTACGAAGCTTTCCGCCTTCATAGTCCCTGTGTTCAATGCCTCTATTATTCAACTAGAGAGATATCATATATTGTCCTGAAAGTTAATAATACAAGGCAATATAGGATTAGGGTCTAACTAACTGGTATGGAGAGTGGGCTGCTTGAGACCACAGTATTGAAGAGAGTGTTTTCATTACCTGCATTATTCTTTCTTTTCTCTTTTTCTACCCTGAAGGAGAGCTAGTACACAGGCTTTCTTGTTCCTTTTATTAGGCTAAGGTTGTCATCTGTTGAGTGACTAAGTTCCACACTTCATACTAGGTACATTATCTTTGTGTGTGTGTGTGTGTGTGTGTGTGTGTGTGTGTGTGACAGAGAGAGACAGAGAGAGAGAGAGAGAGTCTTGCTCTGTTGCCCAGTCTGGAGTGCAGTGGCACAATATTGGCTCACTGCAGCCTCCACTTCCCAGGTTCCAGCGATTCTCCTGCCTCAGCCTCCTCCTGAGTTGCTGGGATTACAGGTGCATGTCACCACATCTGGCAATTTTTTTTTTTTTTTTTTTTTTTTGTATTTTCAGTACAGACAGGGTTTCACCATGTTAGCCAGGCTGGTCTTGAACTCCTGACCTCAGGTGATCCACCTGCCTCGGGTGGATCCCAAAAGTGCTGGGATGAGCCATTGCGCCCAGCCACACTATCTCATTTAATATTCACAAGAACCTAATGAGGTATTATTTCATAGTTGAGACCCAACAAGATTAAGAAATGTTCTCAAAGCCATATGTAAGTAAATGTTTAAACTGGGATTTGAATCTAGACCTCTGTGTTTACAAAGTCTACTGTTCTTTCTACTATACTAGGTTGTACTGTCAAAGGGATACTGGGGTGAGTAGAAAATGCAAAGGATTTGGTATTTCAACCAAAGGTAAAGTTTCTTAAAATCCCACTAACAATTCAAATATCAACTTTTATCAAAATCGATTCAGTGTCCCTATTATAGGTCTAGAGAAAGATAACCAATTATAACAATAATAAGGGCTGATGCAAATTTAAATATGTAATAAACTAAAGACAGTAAGGTTACCTAGTAAAAATGTAACTATCATTTTGTATGCTTTAAGTAACATTCTGAATGCCTTGCATTGCAGTTATTTATTTATTTATTTATTTATTTATTTTTGTTTTTGTTTTTGTTTTTTTTTTTTTTGAGACGGAGTTTCGCTCTTGTTACCCAGGCTGAAGTGCAATGGCGCGATCTCGGCTCACCGCAACCTCCGCCTCCTGGGTTCAGGCAATTCTCCTGCCTCAGCCTCCTGAGTAGCTTGGATTACAGGCATATGCCACCATGCCCAGCTACTTTTTTTGTATTTTTAGTAGAGACGGGGTTTCACCATGTTGACCAGGATGGTCTCGATCTCTTGACCTTTGTGATCCACCCGCCTTGGCCTCCCAAAGTGCTGGGATTACAGGCTTGAGCCACCGCGCCCGGCCTGCAGTTATTTATTTATTTATTTATTTTTGAGACAGGGTCTCACTCTGTGACCCAGGATGGAGTGCAGTGGCACTATATTGGCTGACTGCAACTTCCACTTCCCAAGCTCAACCCATCCTCCCCCTTCAGCCTCCTCAGTAGCTGGTACTACAGGCCCACGCCACAAAACCCAGCTAATTTTTTGTACTGTTTATAGAAATGGTTTTGCCATGTTGCCCAGGCTGGTCTCAAACTCCTGAACTCACATAATCCACCTGCCTTGGCCTCCCAAAAGTGTTGGGATTACAGTTGTGAGCCACTGCACCCCACTGCATTATACTCTTAACACTTGGCTTTTTCTGATAACTTTTTTTTTTTCTATTGAGATGGAGTCTCGCTCTATTGCCAGGTGGGAGTGCAGTGGCGCGATCCCAGTTCACTGCAACTTCCATTTTCCAGTTTCAAGCAATTCTCCTGCCTCAGCCACGTGAGTAGCTGGGACTACAGGCAAGCACCACCAAGCCCAGCTAATTTTTTGTATTTTTAGTAGAGATGGGGTTTCACCATGTTGGCCAGGATGGTGTCGATCTTTTGACCTCATGATCCGCCTGCCTCGGACTCCCAAAGTGCTGGGATTACAGGTGTGAGCCACTGCGCCCGGCCCCTGATAAGGTTCTTGAGAATTACAAACTGTGTCTCATTTCAACTCCCTCAGTATGTAGGGCTGAGGGCCCCACAGGGTCGTGGGGTGTCCCTTATGCTGTGCTGAGGAGCAGGATCTGAGAAAAAAAGAGACAGGACACCGAAGTACAAGAAAAACGCAGCTGAGCTAAGGGGGGCCACCCCACCTATAAGTGGAGTCAAGTAAGGCCCTGAATGTCCAGAAGCATGAGTATTTATTGTGTATAGGTTAGGGGGCAGGGCAGTGAGTGAAGTCATCTTTAAGGATAGTGATAGGGTTGTGAGCAATAAAACCTAGGGTCCACCCCAACTAGGTCACCTAAGCTAGGAGGTGGACAGTGGGCAGCAAGGTGTCCATTCCCATTAGGTCATCAAGGCAAGGAGGTGGGCCGTGTGCAGTAGGGGGTCCACCCCCATTACGTCACTGAGGTATGGAGGTGGGCCATGTGCAGGGAAGAGGGTGTAGTGTGCAATACCTCTATCTTTGGGCAAGCTACTTCTAAGATGATTTATGGGAGGATGCTTTAAGTCACACAGCAGTGACAGAGCTGTCAGGGTTACTGCCACCTGCTGGCAGCTTCCAATGAGTTCTATAGGAGAATGCTTTTTAAGCAAGTACAGTAACAAGTGCTGATAAAGTTCAGTCACCAAGGTGCGATTATCCAGAGGGGTTTTGAGTCCTTGGATGCTCGAGGGATTGGCGGTCTGAGGTCAGCCTTCCACAAGAACTGGAGTAAGGTCCTAAAACTCCTTTATCAGGAGGAGTGGCTCTTGCCCCAAGCCTGCCATACAGCGGCTATCTTTCCAATACTGAACGCTGCTGCCTGGGCCATGGATTCTTGTCCTGGTATAACTGTTTTCCCTTAAACCATGCTCTGCACCATGTCTGCTCCAGACATTCCTCCAACTATAAGCTGCTTATTCCTTAATTCACACTCTGTACTGTGTCTACTCTAGGCATTCTTCCGATTATGAACTAAGATATAGTTATATATATATATAGGGAAATAACTGAGTGGTAACACTATAAACTGAGATATTCTTCAGATCTTAATTGTTCCAGGATACTGCTTAGCTCTCCTTCCTTGGTGCCTATATGGGGGGTTACCCACATCAGTATAGTTATCACAAACATACCACAGGAATAATACTGTACTAGAAAAAGTTTAAGAATCAATGCCAACTTACCACAATCACCAACCCTAAAGCTGTCAGAAAGAGACTTGATGTAATCTTCATTGCCCCAGGAAGTTGCATTTACAAAATGTGCTGGTGAATCCCGAATGGTGAAGCTGAAAGTGTATCTTTCTGATCCAATATCTAAGGGAAAACCAGTATTTTTATTTTTCAAATAAAGGGTTTCGATCACTTCTCCACCTTTTGATAAGTGGCACACGCAAAGTTTCAATTCTGAACAAATGATTATTTCTTTAATCAAATGATTCTTTAATATGATGATAAAAATACTCAAACACATGGTGCAAAATGTTATTTCTGATGTACATTCTAAAACGTTATGTTTCTATCAATTTCAAACTGAAGTGGTAAGAAGTTGCCCCGTTGATCCCTTCCCTGGTTATCTGTGTACTTGGAGGGAAAGACATGTAAACTTGAGCTATCCAGGTATTACCTTAGGTTCTCCTTTTCTCCTTACTGTTGTTTGAACCTAAGTCATAATTCAGATTTAAATAGTTATTTCAGTCCCAGCTACTTGAGAGGATGAAGCAGAAGGATTACTTAAGCCCAGTAGTTCAAGGCTGAAGCTGTGATTGCACCACTGCTCTCCAGCCTGGGTGACCCAGAAAGACTCCGTCTCTAAAATAAAAAGAAAAATAAAAATAGTCCGAGCATGGTGGCTCACACCTGTAATCCCAACATTTTGGGAAGCTGAGGTGGGTGGATCACCTGAGGTCAGGAATTCAAGACCAGCCTCGCCAACATGGTGAAACCCCCATCTTTACTAAAAATACAAAACTTAACCAGGCATGGTGGTGGACACCTGTAGTCCCAGCTACTTGGGATGCTGAGGCAGCAGAATCACTTGAATCTGGGAGGCAGAGGTTGCAGTCCGCCAAGGTCCAGCCTGGGTAACAAAAGTGAAACTGGCCGGGCGCGGTGGCTCAAGCCTGTAATCCCAGCACTTTGGGAGGCCGAGGCGGGTGGATCACGAGGTCGAGAGTTCGAGACCATCCTGGTCGACATGGTGAAACCCCATCTCTACTAAAAATACAAAAAATCAGCTGGGCATGGTGGCATGTGCCTGTAATCCCAGCTACTCAGGAGGCTGAGGCAGGAGAATTGCCTGAGCCCAGGAGGCGGAGGTTGCAGTGAGCCGAGATCGCGCCATTGCACTCCAGCCTGGGTAACAAGAGCGAAACTCCGTCTCAAAAAAAAAAAAAAAAGTGAAACTGTCTCAAAAATAATAATAAAACTTGGCTGCACACAGTGGCTTACCCCTGTGATTCCAGGACTCTGGGAGGCTGCGGTGGGAGAACCAGTTGAGGCCTGGAGTTCAAAACCAGCCTGAGCAACATAGAGAGATCCCATCTCTACAGAAAATTTTAAAATTAATGGTGGACTGGTCTTTCTTCTCAGCTACTAGGGAGGCTGAGGAGGAAGGGTCACTTGAGCCCAGTTTAAGTGTGTAGTGAGCTTTGAATGCACCACTGTACTCCAGCCTGGGAAGAATAAGTTCAGGGTGTTTATGAACCGTACACCTAGGCTGGAGTGCAGTGATGCGATCTCTCAGTTCACTGTAACCCCCGGCTCCCAGTTCAAGTGATTCTCCTGCCTCAGCCTCCCAAGCAGCTGGGACTACAGGGGCATACTACCATGCCAGGCTAATTTTTGTATTATTTTAGTAGAGACAGGGTTTTTCAGTAGAGGTGGGGAAGAACAGAGTGAGATCCTGTATCTAAAAAATTAAAAATAAATGTTTTAAATAAGTAAGTTATTTGAAAACAAATTATGTGCTACTTAATGAGGACCACTAGGGGTCAGCAAATAGTTTTTTCCCAAAACAGAAATTTAATATTGGTTTTCCTAATTAAAAATTACAACAGGCCAGCATGGTGGCTCATGCCTATAATCCCAGAATTTTGGGAGACAGAGGCAGGCAGATCACAAGGTCAAGATCGAGACCATCCTGGCCAACATGGTGAAACTCCGTTCTCTACTAAAATACAAAAAGTTAGCCAAGTGTGGTGGCGTGAACCTGTAATCGCAGCTACTTAGAAGCCTGAGGCAGGGGAATCATTGAACTCAGGAGGCGGAGGCTACAGTGAGCCGAGATCATACCACTGCACTCCAGCCTGGCAACGGAGCAAGACTCCATCTTAAAAAAAAAAAAATTACAACCGCCAGGCATGGCGGCTCAACCCTGTAATCCTAGCATTCTGGGACACCAAGGTGGGTGGATCACAAGTTCAAGAGATCAAGACCATCCTGGCCAACATGATGAAACCTTGTCTCTACTAAAAATACAAAAATTGAGACTGGGTGAGGTGTCTCACACCTGTAATCCCAGCACTTCGGGAGGCCGAGGCAGGCGGATCACCAGGAATTTGAGACCAGCCTAACCAATGTGGAGAAACCCTGTCTCTACTAAAAATACAAAATTAGCCAGGTGTGGTGGTGCATGCCTGTAATCCCAGCTGCGCGGGATGCTGAGGCAGGAGAATGGCTTGAACCCAGGAGGCGGAGGTTGTGGTGAGTTGAGATCACACCATTGCACTCCAGCCTGGGCAACAAGAGTGAAACGCCATCTCAAAAAAAAAAAAAAAAAGAAAATTAGCTGGGTGTGGTGGCGTGAGCCTGTAGTCCCAGCTACTTGGGAGGTTGAGCAGGAGAATCACTTGAAATTGAAACGCAGAGGTTGCAGTGAGCCAAGATCGAGCCACTGACTCCAGCCTGGTGACAGAGCAAGACTCTGTCTCAAAAAAAAAAAAAAAAAAAAAAAAAATTACAAACTGGCTGGGTGCAGTTGCTCCTGCCTGTAATCTCAGCACTTTGGGAGGCCAAGGGGGTTAAGATGCTTCAGCCCAGGAGTTTGAGACCAGCCTGGGCAACAAAGTGAGATCCTATATCTCTACAAAAAAATCGAAAAATTTTTCAGGCACAGTAGCATGCACCTGTGGTCTGGACTGCATGTGAGCTGTCTTCTCATTGCTGCACTCCAGCCTGGGAGACAGAGACTTCATCAAATAAATAAATAAATAAATAAAGTGTAAATCAGCCAGCTGTTGTGGTATATGCAGTTCTAGTTATTTGGGAGGCTGAGGCAGGAAGATCATTTGAGCCTAGGAGATTGAGGCTGCAGTGATCTATTACCACACCACTGCACTCTAGCCCGGGTGACAGAGCAAGACCCTGTCTCAATCAATCAATCAATAAAGATATGAAATAAAAATAAAGGTATCTATCACTGTATCATGAGTCGAAGTAACACAGTCACAGTTATTCAGGTGATTCTAGCAAAACTAATGTCTTCTTCTGCCAAAACTATCGTCTGGTTGGCTAGAGCTCTGATTCACTTAAGCAGTATAGCAACACACATAAATATAATATATGTAATACATATATAATATATATAATACTATTGCCCAGGCATATATATGTAGAATATACATATATAACATATATTGTAAACTTTAATGCATGTAAACACACACACATATATATATGTAATACATATATAATATACATAATACTGTTGCCCAGGCATATATAATATGTATAATTTACATATATAACATGTATTGTAAACTTTAACAAAAAGGATTTAAAGTCTGGGTGCAGTAGCTCACACCTGTAATCCCAGCATTTTGGGAGGCCACGGCAGGCGGATCACCTGACGTAAGGAGTTCAAGACAAGCCTGGCGAACATGGCAAAACCCCATCTCTACTAAAAGTACAGAAATTAGCTGGGTGTTGTGCCACGCATCTGTGGCCCCAGCTACTTGGGAGTCTGAGGCAGGAGAATCACTTTAACCGGGAGGTGGAGGTTGCAATGAGCTGAAATTGCGCCACTGCACTCCAGCATGGGCAAGAGAGTAAGACTCTGTCTCAGAAGAAAAAAAAAAGACTTTAAAAGTTAATAGTAGTGAACTGCAAGTTTTACCATTCTACTTATTTTTTGTTTTGTTTTTTTGTTTTTGTTTTTTCAGACGCAGTCTTGTTTTGTTGCCAGTCTGGAGTGCAGTGGTCCGATCTCTGCTTACTGCAACCTTCACCTCCCAGGTTCAAGTGATTCTCCTGCCTCAGCCTCCTGAGTAGCTGGGATTACAGGCATGCACCACCACACCTGGCTAACTTTTTGTATTTTAGTAGAGATGGGGTTTCACCATGTTGACCAGGATGGTCTCGATCTCCTGACCTCGTGATCCGCGCGCCTCAACCTCCCAAAGTGCTGGGATTACAGGCGTGAGCCACTGTGCCCAGCCTACCATTCAATATTTTATCTTTCATGTCAACTACAAACATTTGAAGGTGAACTGATTTTTAAAATGTAGTTTCAGTGCTGGTTTATGTTTCCATAGTCCTAAAAGTTTTGTGCAGTTCAAGCAACTCAATAAGAACTCTAGGCCAGGTGTGGTGGCTCACACCTGTTAGTCAAGCAATTTGGAGGCCAAGTCGGGTGGATCATCTGAGGTTGGGAGTTCAAGACCAGCCTAACCAACATGGTGAAACCTCATCTTAAAAAAAAAAAAAAAAAAAAAGAACTTCTAGGCTGGGCGCGGTGGCTCACGCCTGTAATCCCAGCACTTTGGGATGCCGAGGCAGGCAGATCATGAGGTCAAGAGATTGAGACCATCCTGCCGAACATGGTGAAACCCCGTCTCTACTAAAATACAAAAAATTAGCCGGGTGTGCTGGTGAATGCCGGTAGTCCCAGCTACTTGGGAGACTGAGGCAGCTGGATCATGAGGTTAGGAGTTCGAGATCAGCCTGGTCAAGTTAATGAGTTGACCATTTTTTTTTTTTTTTTTTTTTTTTGAGACGGAGTTTCGCTCTTGTTACCCAGGCTGGAGTGCAATGGCGCGATCTCGGCTCACCGCAACCTCCGCCCTCTGGGTTCAGGCAATTCTCCTGCCTCAGCCTCCTGAGTAGCTGGGATTACAGGCACGTGCCACCATGCCCAGCTAATTTTTTGTATTTTTAGTAGGGACGGGGTTTCACTATGTTGACCAGGATGGTCTCGATCTCTTGACCTCGTGATCCACCCGCCTCGGCCTCCCAAAGTGCTGGGATTACAGGCTTGAGCCACCGCGCCTGGCCGAGTTGACCATTTTAACCAGTTATTTTGCCATTGTATACCTAAAACATGTAGGCCAGGCACAGTGGCTCACACCTGTAATCCCAGCACTTTGGGAAGCCAAGGCAGTTGGATCATGAGGTTAGAAGTTCGAGACCAGCCTGGCCAACACGGTGAAACCCCATCTCTATAAAAATACAAAAATTAGCTGGGTGTGATGGCAGGTGCCTGTAATCCCAGCTAATAGGGAGGCTGAGGCAGGAGAATCGTTTGAACACAGAAGGCGGAGGTTGCAGTGAATCGAGATCTCACCACTGCACTCCAGCCTGGGTGACAGGGCAAGATTCCATCTTAAAGGGGAACAAAAAAGAAACATCAAATAAAAGCATTAAAAATGATTTTCAGGCCAGGTGCAGTGGCTCATGTCTGTAATCCCAGCACTTCTCGAAGCCAAGGTAGTTGGATCACTTGAGATTAGGAGTTCAAGACCAGCCTGAGCAACATGGCAAAACCCATCTCTAGAAAAAATACAAAAAGTGAGCTGGATGTGGGGATGTGGCAGTGTGCACCTGTAGTCCTAGCTACTCAGGAGACTGAGTGGGATAGAATGGCCTGACCCTGAAAGGCAGACATTGCAGTGAGCTGAGATTGTGACACTGCACTCCAGCCTAGGCGACACAGAAAAACTCTGACAAAAAGAAAGGTTTTTTTTTTTTTTGAGACAGAGTTTCGCTCTTGTTACTCAGGCTGGAGTGCAATGGCGCGATTTCGGCTCACCGCAACCTCCGCCTCCTGGATTCAGGCAATTCTCCTGCCTCAGCCTCCTGAGTAGCTGGGATCACAGGCATGCGCCACCATGCCCAGCTAATTTTTTGTATTTTTAGCAGAGACGAGGTTTCACCATGTTGACCAGGATGGTCTCAATCTCTCGACCTCGTGATCCACCCGCTTCGGCCTCCCAAAGTGCTGGGATTACAGGCTTGAGCCACCGCGCCCGGCCAAAAAGAAAGATTTTACTGTCCTCACACCTATAGCCTTGAATCAGATACTTGACCATCCAACAGAGACGATGGCCAGTGCCCTTAAGGAATTAAACAGGCAAAGAAAAATTAATCTCTTAAATATACTTTGTTGTAGTCATAAGCCAAAGTTGATGAAAAATGAAGCAAAGAGTTAAAGAGAACTCAGCTTTTTCTGTCTGGAAATCCTCTGACATCTGTTTTCCCAATAACGATACCGATTATTTTCTGAAAAACAAAAAGGTTACAGAAGACCAATATTAAACACAGATGTACATGGTAAATTTAATTTCATGGGCTTGTTATATTTTACTAGCTCTAACAAACGTTTTTTTTTTTTCTCTAACAAACATTTCTGGCCGGGCGTGGTGGCTCAAGCCTGTAATCCCAGCACTTTGGGAGGCCGAGGCGGGTGGATCACGAGGTCGAGAGATCGAGACCATCCTGGTCAACACGGTGAAACCCCATCTCTACTAAAAATACAAAAAATTAGCTGGGCATGGTGGCGGGTGCCTGTAATCCCAGCTACTCAGGAGGCTGAGGCAGGAGAATTGCCTGAACCCAGGAGGCGGAGGTTGCGGTGAGCCGAGATCGCGCCATTGCACTCCAGCCTGGGTAACAAGAGCAAAACTCCGTCTCAAAAAAAAAAAAAAAAAAAAAAAAAAAAAAAAAAACAAAAACAAAAACAAAAACAAAAAAAAACAAACATTTCTGACTAGGAACCATTTAAATATATTTATTGCAGACAAACATCTAAAGGAATTTCATAAATGTTCAATTCCACAAGGAATAGTACAAAGTAATCCAAAAATTTACTATTACAAATATAATCATTTAACACTTATCATGTTTCTACTTTATTTTCTTTTTTCTTTCTTTCCTTTTTTTTTTTAAGACAGAGTCTCACTCTGTCACCCAGACTGGAGTGCAGTGGCGCAATCTCAGCTCACTGCAACCTCCACCTTCCAGGTTCAAGTGATTCTCCTGCCTCAGCCTCCCAAGTAGCTGGGACTACAGGAACCTGCCACCATGACGGACTAATTTTTTTGTATTTTTAGTACAGATGAGGTTTCACTGTGTTAGCCAGGATGGTATCAATGTCCTGACCTCGTGATCTACCCGCCTCAGTCTCCCAAAGTGCTGGAATTACAGGTGTGAGCCACCGCACCCAGCCTCTACTTTATTTTCAATCACTAGATGGAGCACAGTAACTGCCCTATGCTATCAATCCTTATTTAATTCATCCAAAGCACATGATAATGCAGCTTAATTTGCCATCGTCTTAAAAGCTTTCCTTTATATAGGGTGTTCTAACAATCCACATAAAATTGCTTTTCTCTTAATCCAAACATGCTGGACAGTGATATAAATTAGCCTATAACAAAACTTATATTTTGCTGCTAATAAATCTAAATTCTAAAGTCCTAGATCTTAAACCTTAGAGATATTAACATCTCCTTAAGATGTTTAATGTTCTCTTTAGTGACTACCGAAGACAAATTTTAAATGTGCTTTTATTTTCCTTTTTCTTTTTTACCAGGTAAGTATTAAATGTGCTTTAAAAAAAAAAAAAAAAATGGGCCGAGCGTGGTAATTCATGTCTGTAATCCCAGGACTTTGGTAGGTTTAGGCGGGTCAATCACCTGAGGTCACAAGTTTGAGACCAGCCTGAACAACGTGGTAAAATCCCGTCTCTACTAAAAATACGAAAAATTAACCGAGCATGATGGGGGATGTCTATAATCCCAGCTACTCGGGAGGCTGAGGCAGGAGAATTGCTTGCACCCGGGAGGTGGAGGTTGCAGTGAGCCCAGATCATGCCACTGCAATCCAGCCTGGGCAACAGAGCAAGACTCCATCTCGAAATAAATAAATAAATAAATAAAAATTACTATCTTTTCTGAAAGAAAAAACTAAACTTATTTTGCTAATTGCAGCAACTGATTTCAGCCTTACAAAAATCTGTGACATTTAAATTACAATCAGCCTTTTAAGACACCTATATTATAGCTGAGCTATTAGTTTGCCTTACTGCTTATTTAGACACTTTGATGTTATTTCTTTAATTCCTTATACATGCAGATCTCACTGAATTTTGTTGGAAAATCCAACCAACAGAAATGCTGAGTAAAATTCTATCTGAAGAGACCATTATTAGCAAATAGTTTACTTTTCAAGAAAAACTATAATACCAATTATCATTTTTTAATACTTATAAATTTTAAATTACAAATTATTAAAGTTATATGTAAAGGTATCCTATTGTAAGAAATCTAGTTTGCAAAAGCAAAATATAAATGGCAGACTACTCATGGGCAGGGAAGGTAAGGGTGTATGGTAGTTGCTTTACAGTAAGTTCTTCACCTTATGTTTTTTTTTTTTATAAATAACAGTTGAGGTGTATTCAAAAATCACTGAATTCCCCTATAACTCTTACTCAGAAAGTCAATTTTCACATAATAATTGCAGAAAACATACCTGTTATAAACCTTTTAACATAAAAGCAGCATAATGTCAAGTATTTAGACTGTAACTTAGATAATTTGGTTAGAAAATTGCTGCTACTGAACAAAATGGTTTGATGTTTTTGGGGGCGGGGGACGGAGTTTCATTCTTGTTGCCCAGGCTGGAGTGCAATAGCATGATCTTCGCTTACGGCAACCTCCTCCTCCCGGGTTCAAGCGATTCTCCTGCCTCAGTCTCCTGAATAGTTGGGATTACAGGTATGTGCCACCAAGCCAGGCTAATTTCATATTTTTAGCAAAGACAGGGTTTCTCTATGTGGGCCAGGCTGGTCTTGAACTCCCAACCTCAGGTGATCCACCCACCTCGGCCTCCCAAAGTGCTGGGATTACAGGCGTGGACCTCTTTAATTTTACAATGCTATTAAATATTTAATTAAAATAATACAAACATCTATTGATCATTTTGAACAATTACTAGTCACATCTACAATCATAACTCCTACTCTACACAAAGATTAATTTTCATCTAGACAGCATAAATACAAAGAAATTTAGGTATACTTAATATCTAACAATTATATCAATGCAAGGAGTATCTATATACTTGTCGATTGTAAAAGTATGTGTTGAACGAATCAATAATGTTGATGCAATGTTATCATATAAAATTTCACTAGTGAGCAAAGCAGCGTATCATTGAAGCTTACCAGATTAGCCATATTTGGCTGCAGATCTGAAAGGGCAGTGAGAGTCCTTGATGCAAAGGAGTTTGCCATTTTTTTATCTGCATATTAGAAATATAATTTAGATATATAAATTGAAAAAATGAAATAAACCATTAAAAAATTCCAAAAGTTTAAAATATTATTTAGGGCCAGGTGCAGTGGCTCACACCTATAATCTCAGCTACTCAGGAGGCTGAGGCAGAGAAAATTGCTAGAATCTGGGAGGTGGAGGTTGCAGTGAGCCAAGATTGTGACACTGCACTCCAGCCAGGGTGAAAGAGGCTCCGTCTCAAAAATAAAATAAAATAAAATATTATTTAGGAAAGCACTGGATATTTTACTTCTTCTTTGGAAATTTTTTACTATAATGGTAAAATGTAAATTAACATCTATTCAACCTATAGAAAACATTTTCAAAATGTCCTCTTATAATTTTGAATGATATAGCTATTATAGGTTTCCATTTTTAACTTTCACTTTCTAAAACCGTGTAAAATTTAGCAGTTTTTGAGGACGGTGTAAATTTAATTTTATTTTTTAAATTTAATTATTATTATTATTTTTTTTTGAGACGAGTCTCGCTCTGCGCCCCAGGCTGGAGTGCAGTAGCACAATTTCAGCTCACTGCACCTCTGCCTCCCGAGCTCACGCGATTCTTCTGCCTCAGCCTCCCAAATAGCTGAGATTACAGGAATGTGCTACCACCCCTGGACAATTTTTGTATTTTTAGTAGAGACAGCGTTTTACCATATTGGCCAGGCTGGTCTCACACTCCTGATCTCAAGTGATCCGCCCGCCCCAAAGTGCTGGGATTACAGGCTTGAGCCACCAAGCATGGCCAAAATTAGAGTTTTGTTTTTTTTTGTTTTTTTTTTTTTGAGACAGAGTTTCACTCTTGTTACCCAGGCTGGAGTGCAATGGCACGATCTCGGCACGATCTCGGCTCACCGCAACCTCCGCCTCCTGGGTTCAGGCAACTCTCCTGCCTCAGCCTCCTGAGTAGCTGGGATTACAGGCATGTGCCACCATGCCCAGCTAATTTTTTGTATTTTTAGTAGAGACGGGGTTTCACCTTGTTGACCAGGATGGTCTCGATCTCTCGACCTCGTGATCCACCCACCTCGGCCTCCCAAAGTGCTGGGATTACAGGCTTGAGCCACCGCGCCCAGCCAAAATTAGAGTTTTACATGCAAGATGATTCAATGGGACATTTAAGGATTTAAATATATATTAGCTTCAAGCTTACCTCAAAAATACAGCAAAAATCTACTGTAAATATCTCAAATTGTGCATTTGGTTACACTATGTGAATCAAAGGTAGTGGTTTTAAACACAGTTCTACATGGTATAAATTCCATGAGGGCAGAGGTGGCATTTTACATATTTTTACGTATGTATTTCATAACTGAAAATACTCCCTACCTATCAGATGAATGACATGGTGGTTTGTCCCTTAACATCATCACTATAAGAGGTTCCATGGTAGTAAAAATTGTAAGCTACACCAAACAGATTGACTTGACCTCACTTAATAATCCAGGGCCTCTCTGTGAATGCCCACCTCCACAGGCTCCAGTTCGTGAATGTGTCTTATATCACCCGAGTTTCAGGCAGCCTTTGGAGTTAGTCAGATATGATTTTGTTTTCGTTTTTGAGACGGAGTTTCACTCTTGTTGCCCAGGCTGGAGTGCAATGGTGAGATCTCGGCTCACTGCAACCTCTGCCTCCAGGGTTCAAGTGATTCTCCTGCCTCAGCCTCCAGAGTAGCTGGGATTACAGGCATATGCCACCAAGCCCAGCTAATTTTGTATTTTTAGTAAAGACAGGGTTTCTCCATGTTGGTCAGGTTGGTCTTGAACTCCCAACCTCAGGTGATCTGCCTGCCTCAGCCTCCCAAAGTGTTGGGATTATGGGCGTGAGCCACTGTGCCCGGCCCAAATATGACTGAATTGTAGTACCACTAGTGTGACTAGTGTGTAGTCATGTGGATTTTTTTTTTTTTTTTTTTTTTTTTTTTGAGACATAGTGTTGCTCTCTCGCCCAGGCTGGAGCGCAGTGGCACGGCCTCGGCTCCCTGCAGCCTCCGCCTCCCGGTTTCAAGCGATTCTCCTCCTCAGCCTCCCGAGCAGCTGGAATGACAGGTGCCCGACACCACGCCCAGATAATTTTTGTATTTTTTTTTTTTTTTTTGAGACGGAGTTTTGCTCTTGTCACCCAGGCTGGAGTGCAATGGCGCGATCTCGGCTCACCGCAACCTCCGCCTCCTGGGTTCAGGCAATTCTCCTGCCTCAGCCTCCTGAGTAGCTGGGATTACAGGCACGTGTCACCATGCCCAGCTATTTTTTTGTATTTTTAGTAGAGACGGGGTTTCACCCTGTTGACCAGGATGGTCTCGATCTCTCGACCTTGTGATCCACCCGCCTCGGCCTCCCAAAGTGCTGGGATTACAGGCTTGAGCCACCGCGCCCGGCCATTTTTTTTTTTTTTTTTTTTTTTAAGTAGAGATGGGGTTTCACCACGTTGGCCAGGATGTTCTCGATCTCGTGACCTCGTGATCCCCCCGCCTCACCCTCCCAAAGGGCGTGGATTGCAGGCGTGAGCCACCGCGCCTGGGCTTTTTTTTTTTTTAGTAGAGGCGGGGTTTCACCACGTTGGCCAGGATGGCCTCGCGGTCCTGTCCCGCCCCGGCCGCCCAGGCAGCGGGGATGACAGGCGCGCGCCGCCACGCCCGGGAAACTTTTTTGTATTTTTAGTAGACACGGGGTTTGTGTCGGCCAGGCTGGTCTCGAACTCCCGACCTCCTGATCCGTAGTGCCGGGAGGACAGGCGGGAGCCACCGCTGCCCTTTTTCACTGACAGTGAAAACTCAGCTCCGCGAGGGGCTTTCCCGGGCGTCCTCCGGCGCCGGCCGCGAGAAGCCCCGGGCAGGGCCCAGCTGCGGAGGCCGCGGGAGACGCCGGGCCGGCGGCGCGACAGGACAGGACAGCCCGCGCCCGCCCGCCCTGCGGTGAGCCGAGGACGCGGCCAGGCCCGGACCCCACACGCTCCGCTCCCCGCACGCGCGCCCCGAGCCCCGCAGGGCCTCCGTCAGCCAAACCCGGGCCGGCCCCGCGCGGGCTCCCCTCCGCGGACGCCGCCTCACAGCTGGAGGCCGGGCACGTGCCGCCACCGCGCCGTCCACGCCGCTGCTCACCCGCCTGGGCGACTGCTTCCCGGCCCTGCACAGCGGCAGCCACGACCTCGCGGACCTGGCTCGCCCGACCCCGGCGTCGCCCGCGCTTCGCGGCTTTTCCACACGACGCTCGGCCCACAGACGCGTGCAGGTGCGACGGCCGCGCGACCGTTAGCGTGAGGCCCCGCCCCGTTACCGGAGACTCCGCCCTCTCCGCCCCCGACTCCGCCCCCGCCGCACACTGACTCCGCCCCCGACCCCGACACCTCCCCCACCTATCACGGTCTCCGCCCCCTGCGCAATGACTCCGCCCCACCGCGCTCCCACTCCGCCCCACCAATTACTGACTCCGCCCCGTCGAGCACTGACTCCGCCCCGCTAAGCACTGACTCCGCCCCGCCATGCTCCGACTCCGCCCTCCGGGGAGGAGAGGGGCTCCTGGTTCCCTTTTCTTCCTTCCCCAGAGTGGGAGGGGCGGGGGGGTCTCCGTGCGCACTCGCGGCTGCGAGTGGCTCCATTCAAAAAGAATGTGCGCCGGAAAAAAACAGACATAACCATCTATCTGTAATATTATAAAGTGGAGCTCGAATCCCAGCACCTGGGAGGCCGAGGCAGGCGGATCATTTGGGCTCTGGAGTTCAAGACCAGCTTTGGTAACATGAGGAAACCCTGTTGCTACTAAAAATACAAAAAAAAAAAAAAAAAAAAAAAAAAAATTAACCAGGCGTGGTGGCGAACGCCTGGTTGTCCTTTGGCGCCGCCCACCTACTGGAGTAGTCCCAGCTACTAGGGAAGCTGAGGCATGAAAATCGCTTAAACCCAAGAGAGGGAGGTTGCAGTGAGCGGACATTGCAGCGTTGCACTCCAGCCTGGGCAACCGAGTGAGACTCCAAACAACAACAACAAAAAAATTAGCCAAGCATGATGGTGCATGCCTTTTGTCCCAGCTACTGGGGAAGCTGAGGCGGGAGGATCGCTTGAGCTCAGGAGTTGGAGGCTGCAGTGAGCTCTGATGGCACCACTGTACTCCAGCCTAGGCAAGAGTAAGGCCTTGTCTTTACAAAATCAATCAATTAATTAATATAATATATCTACATCTAATGATGGATTTGGCATGTAGTATCATCAAGAAAATACCCATAGATGTGTATACCTATGCATGAGAAAAATATGTATAATTAGGTGTGCTAAGGATTGGACTTAGATCAATCTGACAAAAAATTTTTTAGCTCTTCTTGTTTTTATCAACTTTCATTTAGAAATCTTTTTAGTCTGGATAAGCAGAGACTGACTAGAAAACAAAAAAAGAAAAATGTCTTGTTAGTCTAAGGGCATGCAGATGGAAAAGGATTGCAACAGGGACTGGAGTCAGCATTCCTGTCCAAAGCTTTACATGCTTTCTGCACTCTTTACCTCCCCGGGGTGAGATTACTAATGACATTATTTTTCTTAAGGGCAGATCTCTTTCACGCAGCCCTATCCAAGTTGTTTTGATTTTTACCTGATGTTGAGGAAGGCCTCTATTGACTTATTATACTAAATTTTGTTAACAGAGTATCAGTCCAGAGCAAGTAAGATCCAAAAACTAAGTCCATTAAATTTGTCACCTACTACTGTCCACAGGTCGCATTATTTAAGCTTCTCTTTAAAAAGAAAGAGAACAACAACTTTGGAACATATTACACAAACATACAGTGCAAATGAAAAATACAAGTGTACAGCCAAGTTTTATGTGATTGTTAATTTATTATTAGATTGTGAGGTCTGGCTCCAGCCAACAGAGATCAGACAACAGCAGTGAGGACGACCCCATATGTATAAGGGCTCCCGGACGAGCCCCCAGTGTAAAGAAAAAGAAAAAGGAGATTTTTCTTTTAGA